GTACCGTTTGTACACTCCAAACAATGGTATTATTTAGAGTCATTAAAAGATTCCTGAACTTGTCACCCCAGCAGATAACTTTAAGGTGTTCGTATAAACATGATTTGATATCTCCTTTAAAAGTGTTAGTTTTTACTTTTCAAAAAGATCTTAAAACTCATATAGCAGCCGATGTTGTGACAAGATTTAAACAACTTCTCGGAATCCCTTTATCCTATCACGTTTTATGTAAGATGTTTATTTTTTTCTTCTATTTATCCTCTTTCGAGGGACTTTATTTGTTCATATCATAAAATAACAGCTATTTACAACATTGTTTAAATACAGAATTCATGCAGTTGTAACATATCATACATAGTACAGAACATGAAACTAATGTGACATAATTACTAACTAAAATAATGAAAACATTTTTGTAACTTCGTTTGTATCGAATTTCTTTTGATTACATTTCATATTGAGATAGGTACGAATTTCCACCTTTAATTCTTTTATCAAATATACAGCATGTATCCTGTGCTTTTCACTTCCAACAAATAGTTTCTATAGATAAGATGTTTATGCTACACAACGTGGCTTCAATGTTGAGACGGTTAGAGCCTTCCCCAAATATCATCTTCAAGTTAATATTGTGTCAAAATATAACCGAGTAGTGTTCAGTATTTTTTCGGAAATCGGCTATAGCCTTTAGGAGACAAATCTTTAAGACTAAATATTAGGCAATAAACCCTTCAACAACAAGTAAATTCGAATTTGAAAAGTTTTGAACAAAATAATTATTTAATAAAATAGGTTTTTTTTTTCTTGGTCTAATAAACATCGACGTACAATGCATCAACACTGAAAACCTCATCCTTAGGCAAGGTTGGTGTCTGTCTTGCTTCTGGAGTGGCCTTCAAGGTATTCCTGGTGGGTCCTTCATCTGGCATTTCATAGAGTGGGATCTCCTCTGCATCATCTCCTGATCCTGACATCTTCACATCGTCATACTGGTCCCCTTTCTGAAGGGTACCCATGATCTGCTCGTGTTGAGTGATGATAGCATTGTTGCCATAGAGATGATCTGAATTGGAAAATCTATCAAGAACATTTGATGTTGACTTTGACTCACGATTAGCTCCACTCAATTCCATAATGGAAGTGGCATACTCTGAACCCTTCCCAGATCCACCTTTAACCGATTCGTCACGAACTTCAGGATTCTCCTGTTTAATCGATGCATTGCCAGTGTCTTTATTTTCTCTTCGATCTTTCGTTTTCTTACACCGCAGAACGATAATGATTACAATCAATATGAAACTGAAAACAGAACCAAGTATGGCGATAATCAGGGTTATATTGCCATATAGGAATGTCGATGGTCTTTTTTGCGTTGTTTGTTTCAAAGAAGTCGTTGGTAGCGTAGTCATGGGAGAGGAGGATGGCATGGGCTGAGTTGATAGCATGCAGGTGATCCTCGACTCGGTCTCAATTTGGAGATAGAATTCTGAATTAAGCCTGTTTAATTCAGTCACAGAAATCACCTTTATTTTATCTGGACTTGAATTGTTTGCTGTAATGCAGTTAGAACATCTAATGACATGTAAATAATACGTATGAAAGATAATTCGAGTATAATAGTCATAACATTCGAAGGTTGCCGAATCATTCTTTCTGATGTTAGAAATGTATATATTGTTAGAATCAACACGTTTATCGTTGGTAACACCTTGTGTAAAACGAGAATCATTGATGAAGACACCTTCCCAGTTGGCAATTAATGTTCCATTTCTGTACCAATTCTTGTAGTTATCATACAAACCATCAATTCGAGAGCAGCTTAGTGTGATTCTATCTCCGATGTTAGCTAGTATAATATCACCTTCCACTCTGCATGCAAGATCCACACAGAAAAGCACAACAATCACAGATACAAAAACACAACACACCTGCGATCTTGCTGCCAGGCTTGTAACACGCACACGTTCTTGTGAACACATCACCCCAGTACTTCGCGAATTGCATTGGTTGCCGGTGACGTACCGCATTATGTACAAAATCTTAGTTTTAACTTATAAATGCATTCATGAATTGGCACCAATTTATCTGCAAGAATTAATCGAGGAATACAAACCCTCACGCAATTTACGGTCATCTTCACAATTAAACCTCGTATCTACTTCTGTGTCAACTCTCTCTTATGGTAATCGCTCCTTTCGCAAAGCTTCTGCTGAACTTTGGAACAAATTACCTTTAAATGTAAAAAACTGTCAAACCATTAACCTATTCAAAACTAGTCTCAAGACACATTTATTCAAAATTGCGTTCGATGATTAATTATCTCTGTTCACTTTGATGTGTATTCCATATGTATTGTTATTTGTAGGTTTATTTGCATTTTTAGTTTTGTATAAGTTGTAATTGTATATCAGTCTATTTTGTGTGTATAGCGCTTAGAGACTTCGGTGGTAAGCGCTTTATAAGTAACGTTTTTATTATTATTATTATTATTATTGCAGCCAAGTTTACAAATAATAGTGAAAAATCCAAATCTAGGATGGGTTTTCATCGCTACGAAACAAAAATGTCAGATAGGTTTTCCTCTCAGTAGCTGAGAGTATTGCGTTGATTCGTTAAAGACGGTGAAGTATCACAAGGACTGTTTTGACCATTGTCTGCATTCGATGATAATAGTTCCTGAACTCGATGGTGTATAACGGAAATAATGTTTTGAAGCAGGTTGTGATGAAAAGTGCGTGCACATGATTGGGCCGATTTGAAGAAGGGAATATTTTCCTTCTTCCGATAATTTTGTCATATTAAAACATCGTCACGGCACATCATCGAAGTACCTATTTCTATTTTCCATCATGTTTTGTCACTTAAGTGGCGTAGTATTTCATTTCCTGTGCTAGTTTCACTATTATACATGTATTGTAAAATAAATTAAATTTTCACTTTGCTTGAATCGTACCTCCAGATATCAATGATCAGAGATAGCAGTGATCTTTTGTCAAGATCATTGCGATTCTCAGGATGTCGAATATATTTCTAACGATGACCTCAATACGAGTCCCAGGGGTCTCAGTCAAATACAATTAGTCTACTGTTAGCATACGTCACAAAGAAAATGCATATGAAGGGGTGTTTTTTTTTAATTGGACATTAAGGTGTTCGCAAACATCCATTTTCATTGGGCCATTTTCATGAAAAAGGGTACTTTTTCAAAATGATTCAAAATCCTGCTGTACGCGCCTGTATACGCGTTTAGGGTTATTTTCTAGCCCTCGGGGTTTGCTCCTGTGTGGCCGACAGCCACGGGAGAGTCATGTAGCGAATATCTAGCGCGAGTCGGTTTGAAACGATCTTAAGATCATCAGTAGATCAATATGGATGCCAACGATACCGATATATTTTTTTTCAAAGATAGGACTTAATATGATGGCTGTGCATTAAACCCATTTGGAAGTGTAGGCTACAGGTTGATTCTCTATTGAAATAAATGTTTACTTTGTTAATTTCACATCAGAAGCGCAATTTGATTTATTTTACGCTGCCAACAACTTAAATCGTAATCCCTATCGCACTTCAAAATGCTCAAGGGTTACAATTTTACAATAATTGTTTAGGAGTACACTTTTTTGAAATACCCTGTTAGGGTGTGAATTCGGAGAAAGACCACGCGAAATCCTCATTTAGGGTGTATTTTAGTTTAAGAAGAAATCCTCGTTTAGGGGGTGTCTGGAAAACCTATGGTCACGCATGCTTACAGTTTTTCTACATGACTGAGACCCCCGGGTACGAATCCCAGTCATGATCCTCTGTTAATCATCTTGGTGATTTATTAGTCTAAAAACACTTCTGTAATGCAACGAAAATCACGTTTCGTCATGCCTGAAGTTCCGCGGCAGAGCCCGGTTCCAAACATCTCGCAGAAAAAAATAAAGATACCCAAAATGCTGCAGAAAGCTAGAAATTCATATTTGTATCTCGTTTGTTATTAAAAAAACGATATGGCAACCAGTCAATATACCCTGCCCTCTTGAGACTAGATGTGTTAAGACTTCAACCTACTTGACAAGGAAATGATACTTGTATTGAAGTGGATTCATCGATGCCACCATACAACCACATACTATCACTTAGAAGCCTAACGAAGCCAAGATTGTATAGAAAGAACCTTGTCAATATTTTTATTTGTATCCGGCAAGATGCTTGGTTATATTATGACTCACATTGACACTTTCTCTCGTGTTTTTCTGTAAGTACTTCCTTTTTAGGTACTTTACTAAATAGTCTAAGGATTCATAGGTGTCTTTTTTAATATTTTCTCCGTTGCATCATGGTTCCAAGGTCACAAAAGACGTCAAACCATAATCAATTTTGGGGTATAAGGGCCTTCCAATGTCTAAACATAGTATACTTTTCGCTTGGAGGTTTCCCTTTTGAAGGTGCCCCCTTTTTTTCCTCCAGAAAGTACCTTTTTTTTTGTTGGAGCCTCCGCCCCTCCCTACTTTGAAAGACGCTCCGTTTATTTCCGTGGAATGCGCCTGCGCAGTTTTGGCCAAAGGACGGATCGCCTTATCAACAAATAGGAGGCATATTGCTCCAAACTAATGCAAGGTCTCCTTAGGTATACGAGTTCATGATATGGACCATATCATATGGTAGTCCATGTATCCCAATTTCATACTAATCTGAATTTACATCCTTTGAAAGAGATTCTAGGGGTAGCATAATCATTCTTTTTGAAGGCCAAAAGTACCCATATTACTGCAAATTCATGGACAGTCTTCTCACCTTTTGGAATCTCTCTATGTTTGTCCATGTCTTTAAATTGTATTTAAATTCAATTTCACAGCCTTTCAAGGAAATGTTTAGGGTAGGATAATCACTCTTAAAAGAATAGTCTTTGTGTTTTTATCTATGGCAGTTGAAATATTTACAAATTTTTGCAAATCATTGACCGAAGTTCTTGTACAATACAACATTCTTAGAAACAGAGACAAAGCATACTTATATTTTGTTTATAATATAGTTCTATTTTATTTTCAATAAATTAACATTCTATTGCCTATTTAAGATACCAAGTATCATTTTAAATTAAAAATGTATTATCAATTATCATATTTTCATTTCAAATGTAATAATTATCACTACTGATCAATATTTTTCAAGTTGAAAGCTGGTTTGACAGAGTGGTATGATATATAACAGTTCTACATTGCATATTCAACATATATTGTCGATACTTACTAAATTAAAACATACAAACATTAATGCGTAAGAAATGTGCCGCTTATTTAACTTAATCATCATCAAATTTTTCTGCGGGGTAATTTTTAATGGCAGGGTATTTTACCGTCATCGCTTCCCCGTACATAGAGCGATTTCCGAAATAAAAAAAATGTATAAAATCATCATCACGCGCGCACCATGCAGTTGGTGATGCATTGTGGGACATGGCTGTCGACACATAGGGACATTATGAATAGCAGATGGCATTATAGGTTAATATGAAGTAGTGTCAGTAGAATACCCTGCATGCCTTTAATCAAGAAATAAAGTTATATTGAAGAGCAGGAAGAGTAACAGCTACATCCTTGAATAATGAACAATTATCAAAATGTTGCAATTGTTGTCATATAGCATCGATAAACATAAACTGATTGTCTAAATTTCTTTCAAATAATGAAAATATACTTGTCATTGGCCTGTAGATATCTTCGCGAGATGATAACTATGAGGACCTAAAATACATTCGTGGTTTAATTAAAAATGTATAATGATTGCCTATAAATTAATCGGAAAGTAAATAAAATTATAATACAAATTGCGAAATCGAATAATGTCCGTAATTGATGATTATTAATATTCTGTATAAGTGTATAATGCTGTAATAAAACGATACGTTACAATACTTCATTTTTATTGAACATTTATCAGGTGTAATGTTAACTGTTAGAGTTAAACTCTAAGCATGTTTTAAATGTATTCATAAAACAGAATTGTCACGTACGCCAATTTGAAACCCAAGTCAAAAAGGTCTAAAAAATGTGCAATAAAACCACTGCTTTGTCCGAAATAACACTTACCATCAACAAATTAAATAGTCCGTGAAATAGTACCTGAAATAATGCAAACAAACATTAGCACCATTTCAAAATTTAATCAACCCGTTGAATACTAAGATAAAATTATAAACTGAATGAAATCCATATTTTTGAAGATAAAGGTTAAATAAAAACGTTATCGTCTCTAACGAGTAGAGGTGCAGATTTTTAATGAATCTTTGCATTTTTTCATACACAGCATAAGATCTGTACAGAACATTTTACACAAATACTCCACTTCGTTTAATGTGTTACATGTCCTTTTAGAGTTTAAACAAAATTGAACTGGTAAAGATGACAATTTTATTGATAGAAAAATAGAAAAAGGAATAAGAGATAGATTAAAAGAGGGGGAGAGAAAGTAGAAAGTAGAAAGTCTACAAAAGTAGAAAGACTTGCTGAGATGGTTTATACTGACAAACATTATCGTCAAATCACCTCACACATTAAAAATTAAACATTACAGTCGAAACTTGAATGAAATCAAGAACGTGATAACATATGCGTATTTATATGTGACAGTTATAACATATTCCTGAACCTACGACTTTCTCTCAATGATGCCACTGACAATGTATGGCACAGAAAGAGCTCAGGCTAAAAGGAAATCACATAACATGTGCAGTTCCAGCTATTGACCTTCTTTATACTTAATATAGTCTACTCTTGTGAAAGGTAGTCACTGAAAATAAAATGCATAGCTAAGAACAGGAGGACGTGGGTGTTTTTTTTTGGGGGGGGGGGGGGGCGGGATGGGGGGGGGGGGAGCAACATCATCATTTAAATCAAAATCTTTGTCGGGCAATGTAGTTGTATGCAAATTTGTAAATCAGCCGACCTAAAACCTCCCCTCCCTGTCCAATATGTAAATAACACCCTGGCCTACAGAGTGTAAATGAAGTCTGTTAATTTCTATATCTATATTCATATGCAATTATATTTGTTAAGTATATATGTTGAGCTTCATTCGTAGGATTGTGTATTTCTTTTTCTTTGTTCATGTATCGATATATCCTAGGACAATAATGAACTGACAAAGGACATTTCGTCTGTTGCGAGCCAGAAGGATATTGGGTCATATGCTGTTAGAAAGCAGTAACGCCCTTCTGGCTTCCAGAAGCCAATCTTGCGGTATATGACTCTTCTTAGAACCTGTCATTATCATACATCCGACTCCCTAGATTTTTTTCCGTCGTCGAAGTCGGTACCGAATTGGGGTTGAACTTGGAGATGGTGTTCAAGCCCTTTTTGGAGGGTTGGTTGTTGGGTTTCCACGTCGTGGTCGTACGGGTATTCATCGTCGACGAGAAGCGAGACGTCGAAGAATCAAGAGAGACCCGCAGAGACTCGGGGAGGCAGCAGCTGAATTGGGCCCGCCATTGGCGTCGAACTTGGGGTTGACGCACGCAGTAGAGCATGAAGATGAAATAACCCTGAAGGGAGTTGAGCACGGTGAAGATTCCCTGGACGACCACGCTAGTTGCTTGGATCAACGACAGGTATCCTACTGACCACGTTAATCCTGTACAAAAAGACAGACACAATGAGAAAATGCGTAGTAATTAAAAAAAAATGAGAATCATCCAATATCTCGTAAGTTCAGCGGCTCAACAGTAGAAAAATGGCATTTACAATCATAATCATTTCATCGGTCTATGCACTTAACTTATGGAAAAGTTTACCTAACTTTATATCAATGGGTATTTTAAAAGTTGATTTTAAAAAGGACACCTGTTAAATTTAAGAGAAAAACCCCAACTATTTATTGCAGCAAGTTCTCTTCTAAATCAGGACTTGTGCAAAGTACTTACATTTACATTAACACAAATATTAAATTACATACTTTCACTACGTGATTTGTGAAATGTTTAAAGAGAATTCGCTTCAAGCGTTGTGATAATGAAATATGAATATGACAACTAATCATTTAAATTTATGTACATTCCATACAGAACAGAGAGGTGGTTATGGACTTCTATTTTCAACGTATCTTTGTCGAGGATTAATTTCACCGGGTAAGTTAGAGTATTCCAATCGATTTGTATGAAAGAAAGATCACAACAATTGTTATTGTCTGCAATCGGGATAAAGCTATTCGATGAAGGTGTGCTTCTAACAATTCCTTGAACTCACCCATGAGGAGGAGAATGCATACGGCGTTTTGGAATCGTCGAACTCGTTGACGTCGCTCGGCCTTCTCATTCTGTTGCTTACCCCTGACCGTCTTAGTGAGTCGCTTCATGACCAGCACAAAGACAACCAAGTTGAAGAGGAGGATGAGACCAATTGGTATCAAGAGACCACCCACCTGGGGCCAGAGACTCACGAAACAGCTGGGAAAGAAGATGGTTCACAAATGTAAAGATGGTGGGATGTTTGTTTGCCATTCCGATGTCGATATATTTGTTGGGTATATGTAACGAAAATAGAATATGACGAGTACGATGATGATCATCATTATAACATCATCATTAATTATCATCATCATCATCATCATCACCACCACCACCATGATCATCACCACCACCATCCTCCTTCTCCTCCTCCTTCTCATCATCACCTCATCAGTGTTACCGTTATCATCTTCACAGGTAACATCATCATCTTCATCGTCACCATGTTCATCAACATCACGACCACCATCATCATCATCATTATTATCAGTCAGACTTACAAATCTGTCTGTGCGTATGTTTCCCTTGTGACTCCTGCTGTAATGAACACTACGATTGCAGGTAAACCTGAAAGAAAATAGTTTAAAAACGATGAGCACCAACAAAACTGTTTCAGCACATCAAGTATTTGGAGAAGGAATTGTCATCTTTTGCGGTGTAATGTATCGCAATTCATTGACAATTCGCACCTCTTCAAATCAAATGTTGTGAAAATTAACGAATTTAATTCAATTATGGACAAACATGGGAAGGCAATAGTAGGTAAATGACAACATGTCAGCATCACTTAAATACGTTATCAATAAAAAGAGAGAAAGAAAAAAGATTATGCAGGTAATGAATAATAAACGTTAACGATCAAATGGTATTTATTTAAATTCTAAATGCAAGGTTTAGTATAACATCAAATATCTTTAATTTGTTGATGAAAAATACAATGCATGATCGCTGATATTACTTTTTTGCAATTAAACCAACAAAAATATGGATCCTATTTCTGCTTACCCCATGCACAAAATGATGCCTTGAGGATGAAATTCGAGACGTAACTATCCACGACCCGCACAAACATGAGATACATGTTGAAACCCTCGACGCACATCCAAGCCAGCGACGACAGCGTGAAAAAGTGCAACAACCCTGCTACAATGCTACAAGGAACGACGTCGACCTCGACCACGCCACTCTCGGCGTCGAGAGCGATCATGGCCAGGAAGGTGACGTAGAGACCGAGTAAGGAGAAGCAGAGACAGAGTAGGATCTGGTTGGGATTCTTCATGCGAAATTTTCTAGAGGAGGAACAAGAACATTATGGTGAAACAGTGAGTAAAGGTTTGCATTTCTTGAATTCGTGATCTGTACATTGTGTGTATATGCTCAACAGAAAACAGATGAGAAACTTCCTGAAAAAAAAAACATCTCTGGGTTTATATGATCACACAGTCATAGTTTCAGAGAAATAGCAAATGCCTTAATTCAAATATTACATTTAGATCACCAACAAGATCTTTCTTCATATTATATTTGTACGAATATCATGCTGATTTAAATGAATGTCTCTTTTTCGTTCTGTTACATTTTATTCAATTTATTTTTTAGTTCACTTTAATACATAGAAAATTTGGTCCAGGTATGTAATAGGAACTGAATAAATTTGAAACGTTCGGATTTTCGACTCGGTTCTGGAGAAATAGGTAGAAATATCAATATGAAGATATGTCTTGAACTTCTAAAATTGAAAACTAGCGTTGAAGAGAGGCATACATCATCGGAGTAAATGCAGGAATGAAGTAACCGCTTGAACTGAAAGTTCGATTTCGGCTTGCAGTTTATTCTGAGAGGAAGGCAAAAAACTGAAATGCGTCCCAATGAATTCGGCTTTTTGATTACTATAGGGATATTTACTATTAATCAAACTTACTGAATTATGAAGAGAGAGAGTGAGAAAAGGAGAGGGAAATTAAAATAATTAGAAACTGAGTCAACTGACCTATTACTCAAATACGTTATGATGGTGATGACCAGTCCAACAACAGACATGGAACAACCGACATAGCTGAGAATCTCCAAGATGTAGTCCTCTTTATCAGACAACGTAGAACCACCGTAGATGTCCTATGGTAGAAAACAAGATGAAAGATATGCAGGTAGAGAGAGAGAGAGAAGTGAAAAGAACGGGAGAAAAAGAGGGGGAAGACGAAGGAAGAAAAGAGAGAGAGAAAGATGGAGACACAGAGAGAGAGAGAGAGAAGAGAGAGAGAGAGAGAGAGAGAGAGAGCGAGATAGGAGTAAAATGAGATATTATTTTTCAATACAAATTAACAGATTGTATAGCTTTTTATCATGCATCGACATACATCTAACATTTAACTTCCAAATCTGAAATTGTATTGGTTTCTGCATTGGCGAAATTCATCATCTTGCTGGCTCTCTTGTATTTTCAATCAATCACATTCTTAAAAAAAAGAAAGAAGAAAAACATCGTGCACACTAACATCACCATACTTCTAACTTGTTTACCCTTTATGTACGATATCTTCAAAACAATTTTAATTGTAGGCAAAGGTATATATGCATGAAAAACATGTGTAATGTTTCAAGTTTGTATATAAAAACCTGTCTGGTATGTATACAACTGTTCCAGGGAATAAAAACCAAAGACTGATCACACTAATCTTTACCATAAGAACAGCGAAGTTAGTGAGATGGTCGCATTGGCATACTGGTCTGGAATCGGTGCTTGTATTACTCAGACTACATCCTTCTGTTGACCAATCACCAGTCCCGTTATTGGCTTCAAAATCCCAGAACACACAGGTTGCATTTGTAGCGTTCTAGAATAGTAAGAGTAGAGGATCAGGATTGGTTAAAGTATATCTTAAGGCCTCTAACCTCTCAGGAGAAGGTACCAAATACCTTAGGTTGCTAGATGTTTACCTACAATGCGTGAATATTCACCTGCTCATACTTAAAATAAGGAAAGAGAATCATGAAATTATATATTTTTAAATGACAGGTTAAGGGAAGTCGCTGAATGGGAAGGAAGGGTTGCGGGGCGACTGTTTTGGCTATAACGTTATAAGATGTGATATTTGCTGACGTTGAGGGATATCATCCCTACACACCTCCCCTTAACGTTCGTCTACAACTCTACATTAAATTGTAAATCTTTGAAGATGACTCCTGGTAATAATTACCCTAAATATAGAAAGTGACTTGTAAGAATTGTATTTTTATCATTCAATTTGATAGTTTAGTTAAAGCCAAGTATTTCCTTACACTATTGAGCGGTTTGAATGAAACGATAACGGGTTCTGTTAATCCATTGATGACCGATCCTCCAACAGTGGCTGAGATTACCGGCGAGTTCGCTGCTCTGTATGAACCAGTGCTGTTCTCGTTCACAGCTAGGCTAGGAGACTGGAACAACGCGGGATCAGCGAACGTAGTGAATGAACACCTCACATTGTCACCGGTACTTATGATGTCGCCGATTTCAGACGGGAGTGCGATGAGGGCATCAGGTTCGTCATCGTCATCCTCGTCGACCACAGATTCCTTTCCAACAATCAGTTGGAAAGCGTCTGAGGCTAGTTTGTCGGAGCCCTCACTGACGGTTAACGAAGCAGAGAGGCCAGATCGAAGCGTATCGGGTGAAAGTTCTATTATCTGTTTAATTAAGTAGATATGAACTATTATTCAACTAATATGAAATATAGCATTTACAACATTATTCTTGTGAACATACTTTGTAGTTTGTACTGGAATACGACAAAAATTATTTAAATATTCCACGAACGACATCGACAGATTTCAACAGAATATTGGCTTTAATAGGGCAGATGAGTCAAATTCCGTCGAATTCATTCCATAACATTAAAACTAAACAATATGCAATCTGTGTTTGCTACGGTTCTTACGTTTTTCTCCGTTTTCTATGTGATCAGAATTTGATGTTCCATTTCTCACATGAATTGAAACACACTTGTTGTTAATAAATAATCACAGTAGTGGTGATAATTTAATACCTGGACAGCTAAATTATCTTCAACCCTAGTGAATGTGCCATTCGAAGCGGTGACGTCTACAAGGAAAAGCTGATCCTCTAGAGAGGCGATGGCACGGCTTGTCGCTCCACTATCAGTCTGCGCACCGGCAAGTTCATCTGGAGAAGCACTCAGAATGTTTTGTACGGTCTCAATCACAAAGACACAGACCTGTTGAAATGCAGGTTGATAAAGTAAAGCGATTTACAAAAGGAAACGAGCTAAAAGGGCTACATTCAATGCTGTCTAATCTGTCATGTTTCACTAGAGGGAAGGGAGTGGCAGGATGTTACTCCCCTCCTCAAAATTTGAATTGGCGAATCAGTAAGCATGTCGGCAAGTTGGTATATATTTTAGCTTGTATTAATATATGAAGACTTATGCTGATTCTGTCTTTGAGCAAAACTGAAAGTCACATTTCTCTTCAATTCGTCTGACGGAATTTACGACTTACCCTACCCGAGTGGAGTGACGTCAATCAAGCCAAATGAGGGACCTTTGTGCTATGGAGAGCATTGGTAAATACAAGGTATTACAAATGCGAGACCGTAGATGAGACTTTGACTTTCTCCTCTTTTTTGGAAATGTTATTAGGGACACTTGTCTCCGTACCCTTGTGACTGTAACACTATACTTATTCCAATTATGTTCATTACAGAAATCTTTTAGACACACTCGGGAACGCTTACCGCTGGCTCTGGTGATCCGGCTTCGGCGATGTCCTGAAGCAACCTCGATGCAGACGCAACGCCTTCAGATGTCAATGACTCGGTGGATGATGTCAGATCTGATGTGGCTTCAGCGATGTCGGCAACGTTGTCTATCGTTACCGGAGTCTAAAATGAAATCGCAATAGATTATCAAAGTGAGTCATGGGTAATGAGTTGTATGACACATTCGACAGTGACAATTTCGACTTCTATGGCTCAGATACATTCTTCAGTTTACCGGAAAACGTCTGAGGAAGGTGTCTGAACCATAGACATCGAGCTAAGCCTTAAAATAAGGTAGACCTGGGCAGCTTGTCTTAAAAACGTTTTCGCTGACGTCTTACTGAAACATGCAAACACGCTTTTGAATAGGATGTCGGCGAACATATACTTATGGCGGTTTTATGAAACGATGCTCTTATTAATATTTTCAATGTTTTGGCGTGAAACAAAGAATATTTTCCCATTCTGTACATAATTAAGTGGTGAAAAAGAATGCATGCTATTTGAATGCGGAATAATTTTGTTTACGGTGAGATGAAAGATTAATGAAATATGAGCATTGTATGTTTTGGCTCTAGAATGATAGATATAAATGTTGCATCAAACTCACATCTTCTAGTACAATCAGACGTTCATCAGCTGTCAGATTTCTTCCACAGTTATCTACAGGATCCCAGTAGCTCGGTGACAGACCGTCTCCTACACACCGAGCTCTGCCGATAGGCTGGCCATCTACATATAAAAACAGACCAGACATGATATTATAAAAACAAGGGTTTGAAATTACAACAGTAGCATGAAAACGAATGTATTGTTTATTTACTCAAGATTGCAGCTCGGTCACATCGTCCGCCAAACCGACTCAAAACCTAACCATAATGGACAAAATCTGGGCAGGTTATTTCACTAATTTAGATGAATTTGTTATGCATTAAAGCTCACAATTGTTACATTGTATTACCGATACTAGGAGAAATTAGGTCTGATACATACAATTAAGTTTATATGGCGAGCATAATCCAGTGGAGAAGGCTTCGGAGTCGACGGGTCCTGTCGTAAAGTTTTCAGCACCATAGGGAGACATCCAGGTGAGGTAAGGGCATGTCGCTGGGAAAGAGAAAAACAAGAATGGTTTTGTTATCTTCAAGACTAAGAGTTCCGATGTTTGCACAGAGTGAAATAATATATTTTGTGGTCCGAGTCATTTATGGTGATTGTTATCTATAAAGTCACTTCGTCACCCTATTGGTTATTGACCATTTATCATGTCACTTCGTCACCCTGTTGGTTGTTGACCATTTATAAAGTCACTTCGTCACCCTGTTGGTTGTTGAACATTTATCAAGTCTCTTCGTCGCCCTGTTAGCTGTTGACCATTTATAAAGTCACTTCGTCACACTGTTGGCTGGTGACCATTTATAAAGGCACTTCGTCACCCTGTTGGCTGGTGACCATTTATCAAGTTACTTCGTCACCCTGTTAGTAGTTGACCATTTATAAAGTCACTTCGTCACCCTGTTGGCTGGTGACCATTTATCAAGTCACTTCGTCACTCTGTTGGTTGTTGACCATTTATAAAGTCACTTCGATACCCTGTTGGTTGGTAACCATTTATAAAGTCACTTCGTCACCCTGTTGGTTGTTGACCATTTAATAAGTCACTTCGGTACTCTGTTAGTTGTTGACTATTTATCAAGTCACTTCGTCACCCTGTTGGTTGTTGACCATTTAATAAGTCACTTCGGTACTCTGTTGGTTGGTGACCATTTATAAAGTCACTTCGTCACCCTGTTGGTTGTTGACCATTTATCAAGTCACTTCGATACTCTGTTAGTTGTTGATTATTTATCAAGTCACTTTCATACCCTGTTGGTTGTTGACCATTTATCAAGTCACTTTCATACCCTGTTGGTTGTTGACCATTATCAAGTCACTTCGTCACCCTGTTGGCTGGTGACCATTTATCAAGTCACTTCGTCACCCTGTTGGTTGTTGACCATTTATAAAGTCACTTCGATACCCTGTTGGTTGGTGACCATTTAATAAGTCACTTCGTCACCCTGTTGGTTGTTGACCATTTATCAAGTCACTTCGGTACTCTGTTAGTTGTTGACTATTTATCAAGTCACTTTCATACCCTGTTGGTTGTTGACCATTATCAAGTCACTATCATGTTGGTTGTTGACCATTTATCAAGTCACTTTCATACCCTGTTGGTTGTTGACCATTTTATGGTCACTTCATCACCCTGTTGGTTGTTGACCATTTATCAAGTCATTCGATAACCCTTTGGTTATTGACTAGTTATCAAGACAATTGTTTCCCTGTTGTTTGCTATCCTTTTATCAAGTCACTTTGCCACGCCGTTAGTTGGTAACATTGTATTAAGTGTAAATCACTTACTTGTACTCATCACAGTCACTAGGTCTGGATCCATAAATCCATCTGAGTCCTCGGCTTGTGATAGAAGGGCATTCTGAATCAGGGACAGCTGTAGAAGTTCGTTGTCTGTTCCGTTAGTCACGAAGACAATGATCTCGGCGACGACGATGCCTGCAGTCAGCGCATCAACACGTGCTTCCGGCGGTGACGAAAACCCAGCAGTGTTCTGAAGACCGATATTAACCTGGGAAGGAAATTGGGTCATGTTACTTAACGTTATGTTCATTAATTGTATCCCTTACCTTTTTAATTGCTAATTTATATTTAGAATGCAGCATACGAACTTGATTTCATTTTCTCTCACATTAAAGACCCATTTTATTTACTTGCTTGCCAATAATAATTTTAGATCGGTTATTTGGAACATATTTTTAGTTCCAAATGTTATGCCTTTCATTCTTCACTTGAAGCACAGCTTTTTAAGGGGATCTATTTTCAGGAACTTTTCAGGAACTTAACAATGAAGATATCTGTAAATCTGCTCATTCAATAAATTAAATTTACTAGAGATCACCACAGTGAAGAAAATAGTGACACTTCATACTCACAAAATTCTGTATTATTGCTGCTGTTTCGATGAAATAAGCTGAATTGGGATCCGCCAAACTATCTTCATATATTAGGTCGAATGAAGCAGTAACTATGTAATTTGTTACACCTTTGAAGACATAATGAAAAGAAGTTGTTTAAGATCATTCACAGTATGAATTAATCAAAGTTTAATAAGATCAATGAACAAATTATGTTACTAGGATAAAATGCACTTCCAAAATTGGATATGCCTTTCAGAATTATGATCATGGTGTTTTTGAAGTATTTCGGAGCAGATTAGCACAATCGTATTCATCTGCTCATTTTTGGAACGCATGCTAAAAAGTACCACAATATCACACTCATTGCAATCAAAGAAGCAGAACTGCAGAAGTATCCTAACGAAAAATGAAATGTTTTCTGCTTTTAGAATTGTTAGATGGGTAAATGCTTGCGAAGAATTTGCCCGTAATCCAGCATGCGGGCATGACATAGTTTAAAATGCAGAGATTATGATGTTTTTACATAATGCATTCAAGTATAGCTGGCGAACATGGTATACATATATCGCTTAAGAAGATATTTCGATAGTGCTTGCAACTGTTTTAATCAATCTTAAAATAATATAAACAAATTACATGATTCAATTACCTGTCATCGTAACCACGGCTATATTCGTCTCCTCCTCATCCCCATCTGCCCCGTAACCAATGCAGGAGTAGTAGCCCTGGTCCAGGGGGAAGGCTGGGGAGATGACCAGTGGTGATCGGTCAGCATTGTCCAAGAGGATTTGGTCTTTCTTTTTCCATGTGAAGCTCTCGGCGTTCTGGAATGCACACGACAGACTGATACTGGCGCCGTATTCTATCTCTTGGGAAGCGGGATGCCCTATCACCTCGATGGGTTCTGAAATAAAATAGTGATTGAGATCATTTTCTCTTTTATTTTAGTAAGAATTGCCCTGTAGAGAGAAGAGACAGAGGGGATAGAGAGACAGAGAGACAGAGAGAGAGAGAGAGAGAGAGCGAGAGCGAGAGAGAAGGGGAAGGAGAGAGAGAGAGAGAAAGAGAGAGAGAGAGAGAGAGAGAGAGAGCGAGAAAGAGGGAGAGCGAAAGAGAACGAGAGAGATACCTACATGTAAAAAATAACTATTGTAGTCGACAGGAACTAAGGAACTATGATACAAAAAAGAGCAAAACACTGAAGTTAAAATCCTGTGACTGTACTTAAAATCATTAATTTGCAAATACTTACCATTCTGAACCACCTCTGTATTGCAATTGATACCGGTAAAAGTCGATGGACATTCACACTGGTATGCTCCGTCACCTGAGGTACAGACCCCTCCGTTCTGACAGGGTGATGAGAGGCAGGGGTCAACAGCTGGTGGGGAGAAATTTATGGAGTTACATTTTTAAAATGTGACATAACAGATCAAACCCATGCTTAATTTTAATTATACCCGTTGAAAATGAAGCGCCGTTTCAATTGCGTTACTAGGGTGCTTTCACAAACAAGACGAAAGCAAAGACGACGGGAGAATTCACTCAACCGACATCGTCCTGTACTATGCTCCCGTCTTCATTTGTAACCTGTATAAAGAGCGCTTTCGCAAACACGACGGAAGGCAAAGAAGAGGGTAACCGGTAAGCGAAACAATCAATATGCGCATGCGCGAACCAGAATTTTCTCCGTCTTGTTGATTTTCACGACCGTTCTAGTCCATAATAGCGTTCGTTCCCTAAACACGACGGAAGAGCTGTATCGCCGTACAATAGACCATTTTCGTAATGTAACCAAATTGAATGCACAAGTCTTTGTGAAGTGTCTTAATACATATTATTTTATTCACCTGATAAGAATAATAGTATTTCAATAGACAGAATCCGAACTGCACACATTAATTGATCTCGGTTGAGTGAATTCTCCCGTCGTCTCTGCTTCCGTCTTGTTTGCGAAAGCGCCCTATTGCCTATGCTAATACGCCTCTGAAGGTAAAAAACTCAGGCGTCAGTAATTCAACGCAAAGTTTGCACTGTTCTTGAGCTATGACTTTTAATATGACGTCACACTCACATGACACGTGCCACGCACCATTCACTGACGCAGTGTTTCGTCAAACAAAATGATGTCTCGTGCTGTTAATACAATCATGTTTGTTTATGCTCTAGTGAAAGTGTTCTCATACAATGATATCAATAGTGATAATACATGTAGAATAGTGTCACATATACTACGCAATGAATGGCAATTGATCATCCCGAGTGGTTATTTTGTAAATCATGTTATATATGTTTGCAGCACAACAAAATATTAAGATGTACTAAAGAAATCTAGGAAACAGTCACGAAGAGCAAACAAAAATGAAGAAAAAAATACGCATAGAATAACAAATAGCATATAAACACAATATCTGGGAATATAAATAGCTGAAATACAAAAGCAAAAAATGAATACGCGGCTTGCGATCTATTCTTCTACTTCATCTCACATACCTCGTGTAATGCTTTCATCTGATTGCAAAAAGTAAAAAGATTATGACGAGTAAGATGAATCATGTTCAATACTATAAAAACACATTTTTGAACGAATGTAATATACCAAATGGTATCCATGTAATGGTCTTTAAGAGTCGGCATAAATAGCACACATGTCAGTATCCTGTACTTAGCCATGAAACATCTATCAATACAATCCATATCATTTTTAGATTATTCATTCCAAATTAATTAATTTATTTTCATATTTATGTGAACCATAGTAACACATATCTCGAAAATGTAATACCCAAGTCACAACGCCACACAGATTCCATACGAACCGATGACCGACAAAAGCTCGGTTGTTTGGAATACTTTTTCGTTCGGTCTGTGTGATAAGTGTGACTGGCGTATAGTGAAGTACATATTTTGTTTGTCGTCAGGTAGTACTAGTTGTCACTGATTATTCATTCTGATTGCAATCCTCACCTTCACACGACATTCCATCTCCGGCATACCCGTCACCGCACACGCACTCGTAGCTCCCTATCGTGTTGATGCACACGGCATTGAGGTCGCACGCAGTGGTCGACGAACTGCATTCATCGACATCACTGCACACGACCGAGCCTGCGTCGCTCGCCGACACGGTCTCGTAGCCGGTACGACATTGGCAGGTATAACTGTCGATCTCGTTGATGCACTCGGCAACGCTTGGGCATGGACCAAGGGTCTCACAGATATCAAAGGCTAAAACGAAAATGGCGATTCAGAGAGAGAAAGAGAGAGAGAGAGAGAGAGAAATTTGTTTACACCTGTGCGAAATGATAATTGAATTCCGTCGGTCAAGTCGTATTGCTTATGTAGCAGTTATTGATAATTCAGTCAAACATTCCTAGCAAACTTTCTAGCACAATAAACGTTAACAGGCCATCATCTTCTCTGAACAGAAGTTGCCTAGGCCAACCGCTCATCTAGTCATTAGTTTGTTCAACCTAGCAACGACCTCCGTCTACATTCTTTATTTGTATTATTGGTATTCAACAACATAAGTTCAGGGGCGGATCCAGCCGGCGGCAAGGGAGTGGGCCCAATTCGTGAGGAAGAATATTTAGCGGCGACTAAGCCGGCCGGCCGAATAACCGAACACACACACAAAAAAATGACCATCTTTTCTAAAAACCTATTTTTCGGCTAGGGGCGGGGCCCGACCCCCCCCCCCCCGGCTCTCCTCGGTCCGCCCCTGTATAAATTACACCGCCAAACCATTTCTAAGCTGATCTAATCGGATACTGGAGGAAATATATAGTTCATTTTTGTTTGTGCTGACCTGACAGTCTGGTATAGGTCTCATCTGTGTTGTTTGTGTATTACTAGGCACAAGAGACAGAAAAGTATAATAATCTGAATATATTACGAAATGGCATTCTTCAAATGCTGCATATCAAAAAGGTTTGGCCTAATTAGGAAAGAGACATACCTCCACATGTAGTCCCATCGCCTGAGAATCCTGTTAGACATTGACAGACGAACGAACCAACGGTGTTGATACAATCTGCATTCTCATCACAATTATTACCTCCTGATGTGCACTCATTAATATCTGAAAAAACGAAGAAAAAAAAAGAAAAAATAAGGGAATGTGAGGAAATATATTCCTAATAAAAAGTCATGAATTGAAACTAAATATTATCTCTACTGCAAAGGAAAGCATTCACACATGTATCTTTTTAAAATCTATATATATATATATCTACCTTTCTATTTATTTATTCACCTATCTATCTATTTCTTCATCTATTCATCTATCCATCCATCTATTTTTCTATCTATTTATCTATCTCTCTATCCATTTATATATCTATCTAATCATTTATTCATCTATCTATTTATTCATCTATTCATCTATCCATCCATCTATTTTTCTATCTATTTATCTATCTCTTTATCCATTTATATATCTATCTAATCATTTATTCATCTATCTATCTATTTATTCGTCTATTCATCTATCCATCCATCTATTTTTCTATCTATTTATCTATCTCTCTATCCATTTATATATCTATCTAATCATTTATTCATCTATCTATCTATTTACTTATCTATCTCCTACTTACCTACCTATCTATTTATTTATGTATTCATTTATTTATTTATTATTTCATTCATATTTCTATCTACTTATCTATTTCGTGGATCATGTAAACAGAATTGTTTAAAAGACGTACCTCTGCATGTAGTCCCATCGCCTGAGAATCCTGTTTGACATTGACAGACGAACGAACCAGCGGTGTTGATACACTCTGCATTCTCATCACAATTATTAGCTCCTGATGTGCATTCATTAATATCTGAAAAAACGAAAAAAATACCAACAAAAAAGGAATGTGAGGAAATATATTCCCAATAAAAAGTCATGATTTGAAACTGAATATTATCTCTACTGCAAAGGATAGCATTCACACATGTATCTTCAAAAAAACCTATATATCTATCTATCTTTCCATTTATTTATTCATCTATCTATCTATTTATTCATCTATTCATCTATCAATCCATCTATTTTTCTATCTATTTATCTATCTCTCTATCCATTTATATATCTATCTAATCATCTATTTATCTATCTATCTATTTACTTATCTATCTCCTAATTACCTACTTATCAATTAATCTATGTATTTATTTATTTATTTATTTATCTATTTATTATTTTATCAATATATCTATCTAGCTATTTATTTCGTAGATCATATATTTAAAAAAAGACATACCTCCACATGTAGTCCCATCGCCTGAGAATCCTGTTAGACATTGACAGACGAACGAACCATCGGTGTTGATACACTCTGCATTCTCATCACAATTATTATCTCCTGTACACTCATTAATATCTGAAAAAACGAAGAAAAAAAAATAACAAAATAAGAATGTGAGGGAATATATTCCCAATAAAAAGTCATGATATGAAACTGAATATTATCTCTACTGGGAAGGAGAGCATTTACACATGATCTTTTAAAAATCTATATATCTATCTATCTTCCCTTTTGTCTATCTATCTAATTATCCATCTATCCATCTATCCATCTATTTATCTATTTATTTATCTATATATATCTATCTCTATATTCATTCATCTATCTATCTATCTACTTGTATCTCCCTACTTACCTACCTATCAATTAATCTTATTTATTCATTTATTCATTTATTACTTTACTCATATATATATCTACATCTTTTTCGTGAATCGTGTAAAATTAGAAACGTACCTCCACATGTAGTCCCATCGCCTGAGAATCCTGTTAGACATTGACAGACGAACGAACCATCGGTGTTGATACAATCTGCATTCTCATCACAATTATCATCTCCTGAAGTACATTCATTATTATCTGAAATACGAAAAAAAATATATATATATATATATATATATATTCATGAAATGAAACAGGATATTTTCTTCTCTGGATTTACTAACGCATGTGGAACTGTTAAAGAAAACATTTACGCATCTATCTATCTATCTATCTATCTATCCATCAATTAATAATTGCTTATTTTCAGTCATTTGAAAAAAAGGGTACATTTAAAATATCTCGAATTGAATGCATTGTACCCCCAAAAAATGATATTGATTTATTTTGGCAACGTCATTGATCAAAGATGTCATGTATACCTGTACACGTCTCTCCATTTCCCGAATAACCGTTTCGACATCGACATTCAAACGCCCCGTCGGAATCGACACAGTCGGCATTAATGTCACACCCGTTCTCGTCAGTCGTACATTCGTCAATATCTATGAGAAGGTGGGATGTGAGAAGGGGCGGGCAGGAAGCACAACAAAACGAAACGTGGTTATGCTTGTGAAATGCGTTTTTTGGAACATGAAGACAATTAAAAATATAGGTATAGTTTTTCTCCTCACAACCTTTCTCTTCCTCCCACACCTACTATTTTTGTCCCTGTCCCAACCCCCTCCCTCTCTCCCTCCCTCTCCCTCTCTCTCTCTCTCTCTCTCTCTCTCTCTCTCTCCATCATCAAACCTGAAGCACGAATGAAGGAATCAATCAATCAAGTAACTCACCAATCCATCAATCGATTAATCAATCAATCAACCACTCAATACATGCACCGATCATTCTCCATTCATTTATCTCTAACCCACTTGTACACTATCTACCATCACCCGTATACGATCCAAGTGTATCGGTGCATTCAACCATCAAATGATAATAAATTAACTAAAAATACAATCAATCAATAATCGATCAATCAATCACATTTTCCCAATCATATCAATTCCAATCATTTCTCCATAACTTACTTGAACACTGTGTACCATCTCCCATGAAACCTGGCCTGCAGGTACATGTATACGATCCTATTGTATTGGAACATTCAGCCAGTAAATGGCAATCTGAGCTGCCAGTATCACATTCATTGATATCTAAAATAAAGAGACAGAATATCATCATATTTTGGGGGTTTATCTAATTGTGTCATTCGGATTTCGTGTGTGTATGTTTTATTTTTTATTTGTACAAACCATTTTTTCTGCTCGGTTCGTGCTTCCACCAGGGTGTTCTATTTTTTACTTTGAAAAACGTTATATTTTACTATTAAGTTGATTTACTGTATTTCATTTGTTTATATTCTGCTTGACGAAAGAGGGCGCACACGAGTTTCTGACGACACAGTGCAAACCCAAGTCAAGCCACTATCGATAGATAATAATGATACACATGTATGTAGTGCAATACATTCACTTTCAAAAAATCAAATACACTTGATGAAGTTACTCACGAGCATGAAAATCCATAGACAAACTTCATTCGAAATTTCAGTAAGGCTATATTTCACAACGGGTAGTATGGTAATGATATTAAAATTAACAATAATCATAGTAATAGTAATAGTAATGTTAAAGATAATAGAATTAGTAATACACGTGGTAGTATTTATACCAATATTACCTCTTATTAATATGTTACATCGACATTTTAAGTGTCACTGATAGAAAAACAAACAAATACTAGGTGTTCTCTGTATGTTTCCATGGTGACGATTCAGAACTGCAGATATCTTTCAGTAATGTCGTAAACAGCCCTTCTAAAAAGACTGTTGTTACAGAAAGCTTTTGACTTGTGAAAGAATAACACAGTCCTATTATTTGCCGGGTGTTAGAGAGGTATGTATCTCACCTTCGCACGTAAATCCACCTCCTGAGTAACCGTTCTGACATTGGCATTCATAACTACCATCTGTATTGACGCAGTCGGCATTGATGTCACAGCCTTGATCATTCGCTGTGCATTCATCGATATCTTCATATGAAGAAGAAAACAAAATGTACTCATTGATATTTCTAATCGCCATTTGTTCTGGTTGTACAAGTAAATTATGAATTGTGAAGCTCGTCAAAAATGATAAGTCCAACCCTTGTCATAAGTTTATGTGCATAACAGAAAAAACATAAGAGAAACAGAAGGGCGAAAGTTTGAAGAAATCTGACCAATAATAAGAAGGTTATGTATGAAGTATACGATCACTAAAACAGTGCAAATCTTAAATTGGCAATTTAATATGTGGAGTGTGACGTAGACTCTGATAACTCCTCCGTTTGTCCTGTACAAAAATGTACTGAATTTATATTTTCTCCTAAGTGCCTTCTCATTTTGGACAATACTCTAAAATATATTATTATTAAAGAGAAAAGACCCTCCTGAGTCATACATTTGTGAAAATTGTAATTTTAGTCATTTTGTGTGCTGGAACAAATGGGGAAGTTGTCCGCGCTGTACATCAAATAGACATTACCGATTTAGCCAATTTGGACAGCCCATATCTATTGTTTCAAAATTCATAACTTTGTCAATTTTTGCCTGATTTCATTCAAACTCTTACCAGACTGTTTTTCTGATTCTTCTGCTTTCTTTCTGATATCCCTTAAAAATTTCCAATTCCGGCTATCCATTCTTTAATTTATCCCCCTGAACCCTTTATCCTCCCCTGCTTTTCTCTCTCTCTCTCTCTCTCTCTCTCTCTCTCTCTCTCTCTCTCTCTCCCTCCCTCCCTCTCTCTCTCTCTCCCCACCGCAACCCTCTATAATAATACTACTTTCAAATGACATCGATATATGATTTTCATGAATATCCCCGTAGATGAATTAAAACAAATATTAGAAACTTATGATCATGGGCAAAGGGTATTTATTAGACACGGTAAAAGGATTTTCATAAAGAATATGAAAAGAGGGAGACAACAATTGAAGTTATCAGATCTGGAACTCATTCTTTTCCCTCTCGATTTGAATTGTTGCTAGAGGGGAGGGTTGATGAGGTTTATCAATCCCACTAAAAAGTTGGGATACATTTATCGGGCCTGTTCTAAAAGTTCGGCCCATTTGGTGTGACCAATTAAACCTTTCAATGCAAATTGGTCTGGCGAGGCCCCTGTTTAAACATGTACTTATTTGTTAACAAAGAGCTACCAAAACAAATAACAGGAAAAAACATAAAAGAAACAAGAATTATCTACCTTCACATGTGAATCCGTCTCCACTATAACCTATGTCACACTGACACGTATAGCCCCCTGGAGTGTTGGAACACCCTGAATTCTCATCGCAGTTGTCAACACCTTCTTCGCACTCGTCATAATCTTGATTTGAAATAAATATATATTTAATCCATAAGCATCAAGGAATATATGTTACTGAAGCGATGCTACAATTCCTTGATTTAATATATCAAAGGAGTAATTTATAAAGACAGGATTTCAAGAGGCGTAGCCTATTCAGCATTGGGTAACATCGGTCGCACGTATTTCTCCCCTTGTAACCACATACAATTCGCCCTTTGACCTGGGGAAGATAAAAGCCTCCTGCCCCCTCTCGTTACCCCTGGATACCTTCCTGACTGATTGTTCCATCATCCCCAATTCAAACATTTCTATACCAACTGTGAATGTCATAAATCCAAACGCTAGTAATTTAAAGTAGTGTGGTTCACGGTGTATTAATATGCAATCTCCTTCACATGGTGCGTCAATAATACGACCAGTCGCTGACGCACTCCTACGCCAAGTAAATAACGCCTCTTTGGGAACGAGCACTACTTAGTAGAAGACTTACCTAGGACCGTCACCTGCAGCGTACAGCTCCCTTCATTCCCGTACACATCTGACGCTGTGAATGTAACAGATGATGTCCCCACCCAAAAGATCGATCCGGAGGTTGGATCGCTGATTGGTGTCGAGACGGGACTCTGAGAGTTGTCGGTCACGGTCGGTGGGGGCCACGAAACCGCCGTCGTATCTTGGTTGGGTTGGGCGTCGACCATGATGTCTTGCGGACATAGCAGCATCGGGGGCTCCTCGTCTGATCGAGGGAAGAAAAGGAAGTTAAGAATTGATTTAGCCGAACCACTTGAACTGAACCTGGTCATGATGAATGTAGTTGAAAGATTATGGCGAAACGGGAGGGGGGGGGGTAAATATCAAGGTGTTAATCTGACAGGATTTAGTTTTAACACATGACATTGATGCTGGGAATAGCTACAATATTATGGTAATATGACAAAGAGGACATTTTTTCATAAGTTCTCTTTCTCTATCTTCCACCCTATCTCGTTAAAAATAATAAGTAAAGCTTTTGAAATGTCATAGCGAATATTTCAAAAGAAATGCCTGACTTATCCACCTAACTCTCAAGAAAGGGTTTATCAATATAATTTTTAAAAAATATACTAATTGTCCCTTAAAATTACTTTCATGGGTTTAAAAATATCATTACACACTCACCTTCCTCTAAAGAAAAGGGTTCATAAATACCCATTTCCAAAAATATTCTTTAATGATTACAATGATAGTGATAAATTACACTGATAAATGGTATTAATATGGCACTTTTCCTACCTACAACTGTGATGATCACTGTACACTCCGCCGCGTTTCCCGCGCCATCCTTTGCGCTGAAGGTGATGGCAGAGGGACCTATCACCAGCCTGGCCGGGTAAGCCTCATTCTGGTTCATTGTAGGGTTAGAGTTATCCTGGACCATGGGAGGGGTGATCATGACATCGGCATACCAGACACCAGGATCAGTGGTGGTCGTGAAGTCTTCTGAGCAGATTAGAGTTGGAGGTTCGACGTCTGGGGAAGGAAGAGGTTGTTTAGGGGACTAAAATTATTATTATTATTATTATTTATTTATCTATTTATTTATTTATTTATTTAATTTATTTTTTTATTTTTTTTATTTTTTTTTTATTTATTTATTTATTTTTTATTTTTTTTTGGGGGGGGGGGTCTAGAGTTGAAATGATTTTCATTTGAACTGGATGCCAAGAAAGCTAGAGTGAGTATCATATTACAACCAGACAATATACTATACATTGATTTTGTTTTAATCACAGAATTTCCCCGACTTTTGGAAGATATCGCGCCTTGCTTCTTGATCATAATTTTGCTCAATTTGCATGCCTGTTAAATGGACGAGTCTTTGTCTGTCGTTTTCACTCAAGGTAATAAGGAGAAAAACCAATTATCAATGGAAGTTAAATGATTTACCAATGCATAACCGAGAATGACATAATCGTATACCATAGCCATACGAAATTTGATTTCGTCAACCTAAAACACTAACAGTTTCCATTGACAAAAGCCTAGAAAAAATGTCCCTCTGACCGATTTCCCAGAGGGAGCCGGGTCTCTTTTGAAGTACTACTTCTATAAATGAATCAGTTATCAAAAGCAAATCTAACTGCAGATCATTAAGGTTATAACAGAGGAGCTAAATATATAAACATTACCACGAACGACGATGACGAAGGAGCAGGTCCCGATGTTAGAACTCAAGTCGGAGGCAGAGACCTCTATCGTGTACTGCCCAATGGGAAACGTGGTCCCTGACGGGTAGGCGGGGCCGTCACTCAGGTACTGTCCGGAATTATCCACGATCTCAATATCATTCCATGTAACGACGGCGTTGTTCATTCCTGGATCGTTGGTCACGTTCAATGTTCCTGGACATGTGAGTCGTGGTGGTTCCGTGTCTAAAAGAAGAGCATCACCGAGATTTTTTAGAGCGTATTTAATGATTCTATACTTGAAGAAATGTCTGATACATAAATAGGTGTACGGTGCACTTAAAGTAGTTTTATTCTTAATTCCCAAGTCAATTATAAATGTGTTCCAATAATTACAGTGATATCTCTGAAGTCATATTCACTTACAAAAGTCGTATCATTAATTCATTTGTCAATTCTTATTTATTCAGGATCAATCCAAGTCTTTTAATATAATCTTCGCGACGCTGAGTTAAATACTACTTAATACAATTGAATAATAAGATAACATAAGGTTGGACAAAGTGTCATGTATGTAATATACATTATAAAGAGGTAAAATAACAATGCTGTATACGAAGAAGGCTTGCTCGTGCAAAAATAAAAGTTTTTTAGCAAAAAGAAGAAAAAAAAACACGGCACTCTAAAAGGTCAAAGCAAAAAAAAAGAGAACGGAAAGTAAGGTAATACATGTTGCAAACCTTCGCCTAAACACACTCAGAGCTAACGAAAATATGATAAAAACGAAAATCAAACAGGGTGTCATGCCAAACAGAGATTATGCCAGCTAATTTTTATTTGTTGTGTCCCCGTTTCTTCTCCTTTGAGTGAATGATTAATTATGTTTGTTAAAAGTGTGTTTGTTAAGCTGTAAGTCTCCGAAACACCGAAAGTACTTCAGATTTACATTTGTATTAATTATTTTGTTTTGTTTGCCTTTAGTGTTCGTGACAAGAAAAAGAATAGTTCCGTAATGTTTATTTTCATAAATTGTTCCCTTTTTGTTAAAGCCCTCTTTGTTCTGATTAAATCTCGTTGATATTATAAAAATAAAAACGACATCGTAATTTTAAAAAAGTATTAATAATAAATCAGAAAATATGTAAATTGGAATAGGAGATTCTATGAGATGTTCCGCAAGTAAAAAGAAAGGTAGAGAATTTATACATGTACGAATATCAGTGTATTTGCAAAAATTAATCTTGTTCATATAGATTTTTATCGTTCAAGTGTGACAAGATTATCTTGATCAATATCAATATGACCAGTGGCTTCATTGTCCGAATACCTTCAACAGTTACGAACACAGAGCATGCAGCACTATTCCCCTCCTCATCCACCGCCTCAAAGCGGACCGCGGAGACGCCAATGTAGACGCGATAGGAGTCTGGTAGGTTTAACTTGATGTCGCCTGAATTATCAGCGACTACGGGATCGTCGATGATCACGGTGGCGTAGTTCATCTCCGGGTCGGTCGACGTCGTGATGTTGCCCTGACACGAGACGGTAGGGCTTTCGATATCTGGATGATGACGATGATGATGAGGGTATTGAAAAATACACTACAGCAACTACGCATGCAAAACATCACATGACTATATTTAGGAAAAAGTAGCAAATTACTGATAGCAAAATTTCAAACTATATCAAATTGCGTAATTCACAAAGGCTATTAAGGCAAACTGCTATTGATACTATGGGAAACAGCAAACACAGTATCTCTCTTAAAAAACTGCAAAGCAAAGTATAAAACAGCATAGTTCCAAATACTATATTTTAGTCAAAAACATTGCTTACACTTTTGCGAAATCGTGAATTATATATCTTTAACATCAAACCCTTAAAAGTTACTGCTGAGACTTGATGTAGGAGTCTTGACGGCAATCAAACAAAGGAAACCAATGACAAAAAACTACAAACAAATTCTAATTACGGTTAGAAGAGGACTGGCACAACTCAAGTGTCAATCTGTAAATATCAAATTTCGCCTAATGAGAGCAATTACAAAATATCATTTTCTGTTGCTCGTAGAAAGATGATATATCACCCATGCCGGAATGGCCATTAGTTTTTTCTTGTCACCCGATTTGAAAATTCAGAACTCATTTTCACATAGTCTAAAATAAATTGTCAAACATGTCAGCAACTTTGGTGTGCTCCTCCCTCACTTCCAATATAGTCTAGCGATGCCTCTGAATGATATCGAGCTTCTTTAAAAAAAAAATGGCAAAACTGCTACTGCTCTATGCGAAAAGGATCATTTCTTTCATTTATTACGTCACTCTTCTAAGCAATAAGGCAAAAACATTTGAACCAATTTAAGCACTACTTTCAAGCTAGTGGTAATGGACATGCAAATGGACTACACTTGTTTTCACTGGGAGAAACGTGATAATTTTATGTTTCTCTTATATTCTCTAAACAAGTGGCGTATCGTGGGTCCAGCGAATGATGGGGCGTCACGAGGGGGGGGGGGGGCACTGGAAATACCAGATGGTTGACAGGCGACAGAACGAGAGTGTGTATAGAGTGAGGAAAGGGGAGGAGGGAGGGGGGGGTGGTCGTTTCTCATTCTTTTCAGATTGAATATCTCCTCTGTCTCTCTGTCTCTCTATCTCTCTCTGTCTCTCTCTCTCTCTCTCTCTCTCTCTCTATTTTCAATTTACGCAATTCCATTGAGGGGCCCCCGCCTACTGTGTCCCCGTAGAAACGTCACTGTAAAAAAAAATATTTAAAAACTATAAAAAAAAACTCGGAAAACCATACCTCGGCATGTCGGTGGATTCGATGAGAATGTCCCGTCACCCAAACACATCGTCGTTGCTGCACCTTCCAAACTATATCCCGTCTGACTGCAGATATACGTACATTCGGTTAGAGTTTCGACAACGGACGCAGATGGACAATAGTTAGGCGACGTCGTGTTGAATGGAAACCCATAGGATGGGACTACGCATGTTCCTGTAGAGTTAGGCAGAAAAACATAATTAGTGTAAATCAATAGGATTTTTTTTTTATTGAAATGAAATGAAGTTACAAAATAGTTATTCAACAGTTGCATAAGGGGAGTCATGCATAGGTACGTTTACACGAGAAAAAAATTAAAGCACTGCAGTCATTAGTATATGATAAACAAATATATATATATATATGTAATATTTATAAAATCTTATCATCGTTCATATTGTCACACATTTATCAAATATCTTGAGTCTACATGTATATCACAGTCATGGCAATTTTCGACTTTTAAACATGACTATTCATGTAAAGTAATTTCTCATTTTAGGTTTGTTTTATAATGTGATTTCGATACGAGTCTTTTTCAAATCGTTAACTTGAAAACCATGAAAGCTAAACTTTAAGTTCAACTTCAAGACAAATAAAAAGAAACGTAGACACTTTGTCCTATACTCGGTCAAGAAATTGAATGTACTTTTCTTCGTCCTTTATTTTTCAGCATGTGTGCTTAGTGTTGTGTACCTCAAGCGTCTTTCAAGACCTAACACGACACTCCCATCTGAATTCCAATGGAGACGTTTAAATACGGAGGTGAGAGCTGGCCCCCCTATGCTGTTATGGGGATCAGCATCGTTTTGGTGCTTGTGTATCCTAGATGTGGACTCTGTCTAGGGGACGGACCCAGCAGGTGGAGGGGAGGGGGCGGAATTACGAAGGTCATGACCCCCCCCCTTTTTTTTTTTTGTTGCTCGTCCGAGACTTTTGAGATTTGAATTCCTCTGTTTTATGCATGATAACCTCAATATTTGTTTGTTTTGTTTTGTTTTGCCTTACGTTGCTTTGTTTTGCCTTTTTTTTTCTTTGCTTTCAGATGTTGTTTTCTCCTGGGGGACAGGACCCCATCTTTTGTTCGATAACCCGTTTCATTTATTTTGGGCTCTCTAATAACAAAAATAATAATACAAAACTCTGGAGCCGCCCCTGCTGTATATGGCGTTGATTTAAAGTTAAAGCTGACTTTCTGTGAAACTGTGCGGTTAAATACGTCTACTTTCAGTCTTTAACAGACAACCTTGCGAAAGAAAAGAGAGCTAACGATGGTTGTTCTTACCCGTTGATGTAGGAATGTTTGGAATTCCTATCAGGGTGAATGTCAATCGATTGGAAAGTAATAATTCTATTTGACGTCTCAATCATTAAATCATGCTGCAGTAATTTCGATTGCGTGTAATTTATAATGTTACCAAAACAATATAATCAGGTGAGGTCTATGGAAGCTGAAAGCGAGTAATCCTTATTAGGTTTTGAGTTGGCTATATTATGTGCAGTTCGTATTTCGCAGGAGATTGGAGTTTGGATGTGACTGGAATTGAGAAGTGGGTACGTCGACGACGATATAGAATGTAACATGACCACCATATTTTATGTTTTATTGTTGAACCTGATTGTTGCAAGTTAATGTATTTTAGCGTGTGATTGCGTGGGCCGACAGGAAACAGTTCAGCTTACATCCTAAGCTGACGGAGGTCCCCCCCCCCTCTCCACCCCATCCGCCTCAACTGGGAGTTAACCCAGCTACGTATCGGATAGTGGTGAAGGGATAGGGATATGGGGGGGGGGGGTGGCGGAGCCTAGGAACTATAGGCTCTGGAGTTCGTAGAGTCAATGTGCCTCTTGGATACAGGAACGTTTATACTTTTCTCTATTTCGTAAACTGTGGAAATCAACTACCCGGTATTGTATCTATTGGCTGTATTAGAATGACAGGGAATTTGGTCCCGCCCCCCTAACAAAATATAGATAAGACATTAAAACAAAAATCAAATGTAGTATAAAGTGATCAATTAACGAGACAAGAGCAAAAGATCAGGTCAGACAGGTTTTTAATATACCAAACAGCGGAATCAAGCTTGACGATCCTGAAACATTACCCCCCCCCTTTGGGATCACTTTAAAAGTCCGCCCCTCCTGGATTTAACCCCACATTCCTGTGGCTACGCCTCTGCGTGTCAAGATGGAAAAGAGTCAATATGACCCGGATCTCCCCAGTCAACATGTTTGTTAAAATGTAAACTGACTTGAGGTTCGCTGTGTAGGTCTGGCCTTGGTGACATTAGAATTTTTGTCAATTTGTTTTTCCCCCTATACATTCTTGTGGTCTACAATATATTATTTTGTACATAAACCATTTATAAACGAATTTCAATAATAAGATTTTTTTTTAAATCGCTTTCATTTTATTCAAAGTAAGCCCGGTTCTTGAATAAAGGATAATGATGAAGGTCATATTTTTTGTTAAAGCAGGTGTATTTCAAGCACATGTTTGAAATACACCTGCTTTAACAACAAAAATATGATTTAAAAAAAATGTCTGATGTATTTTTTTGTTCGAGGAGGGGGATCATATTCGGCATACATTCGGCATAAATGTCTCGTTTGATGATTTTTAAAATTATTCCCTATAAATCTATAAACGAGAAGGACACCTCCCCCCCCCCCCCCCCCCCCCTCCTGAAAAAAACCTAAATTCCAGTTTGTATAAGAAAACGTAGCCTCATAGATACAAAGATATGTGGGTTTTACTAATACATAAAAAGTCTACTTAGACTTAGACACCCTCCCCCCCCCCCCCCTCCTGAAAAAAAAAACTAAATTCCCGTTTGTATAAGAAAACGTAGCCTAATACTATTAGAGACAAAGATATGTGGGTGTCACTATATAATACATAAAAAGTCTACTTAGAAGAAAATTATGTAATCTATAATTTTTACATTATCAATATAAATTATTTCACGGTATACGCCCAATAATCGTTAGTAAGGATTGTCTTCTGAATACAGCTTAGATTCCCTACGTTTTTACAATCGATTTGAAAAAACGCTAACTTAGTCATCATTATTGAATGGATATAGTGTTCTTTAATCAGAAAGACAACGTTTCGAGGTGAAATTCCAGGAATTGCTTATTAAACTTAATCGAAAAATACATTTAAATCAAAGAAGTGTGGGGCGCATGGCTTGTTTGGGTGTACACTCTTCAGAGCGAATCCCAAGTTGCAGAGAAAATGAAATATGAAACTCATAATGAATAAGTTTCTTCGTTTATTTTCTATTATTAATTGAAGAAAAAGAAAGTTCTATACCAAGCATAGAACCCTTTACACGCTGTACTCTGCATGCAGGGTTTGTTCATGAATCTTACACAGTACGATAAAAGACATTATAAATTCAGAGTTGCCATTTACATCGATAAAGAGATTACGTATAGACCTATATCTACGAAGAATTTTTTCTTCTTAAAGGATCAGAATTTTGTTAAATTATTTGTGTAACAATTATTATCATGTAATGTTTAAGATTTAAACAAAGAGGTATAGTGAAGAAAAATATGTTTGTCTTTTAAAAACGTAAATAACGACAACTCATTAACGGAAAGATGACGAACCCCGATGATGTCACTAATGAACAAAAAAATACTAAAAATAATCACATGTAAAAATGCATTTAATAGTGATATGATTGAAATGAATAGGTAATATCTTAAGAAGCATTTAGATCAATGATAGATGGACCTTTATTGAAAATATTATAATAAGTGCGGAGGGGGTGGAGGTGCTCGTAGATGAAGAGGTGTTGCAATAAGAGACGTGTATTGATAAGGTGTCTGAAGTCATGTTTAGACAGTGCTCGGCTGGGATGATTAGAACGATTGAATAATAACGATTGTTAACGATTTCATTTCCCCTGTCATAACAGTGCGGGGATGTATATGAAGGCAACACCAATGCGGAAATCACTTTTTAGGAACACAAACAATTTTTGATCAATTGTCTTTGATGTCGTATCATAGAAGAGATTCATCTGATCTGTAGAATTTATCAAAATGATCTTCTATTTGTATTATGTAATTAATCAAAACATAATTAGTTTATTATGTCTGTAGCCATTAGATCAACGGTAGATTAGAAATGCCATTTTATTGAGAAACATGAGAAGAGGAGGGGGGGGGGGTAGGGGAGGAAGGGAATGGGAAAAATTGAATACTTAAAACTACTGTAACGTACTAGTAAATCTTTAGTTTAAATTGCTCTTTTCGAAAGCTTTAAGTTCAGTCCAAATATTGATATAAGACGGTAGAGGGAATATAATATTATATATTGTAAAGTGGCACAGGCATGTTTGTAGATTAAATTATTTATCTTTAAATTATGGAATTTTGATGTATTTCTAAAACAACTAGCCATGGACCATTTGCACGATACAGCCTACATCACTATGGTACTGACTGTTCAGTTTTGACACAATGGTCGAATGATAATCGATTTGAAATGGAAGAAATTAAATATGATGTGTTACTTGAACAGGAAGAGGAAATTTGTGTATAGTTTTTGTGTCAATGCCCTTGAGCTTATGACCTTGCTTGTTGTTGTTGTTGGATTTTATGGCATTTTCCATCGTCGTTGGATGATGTTCGCCGATATTTTCGCAAATTTTCATCAACGTTTATATCGAGATACATGGCCTTAACTGGATAAAATAATAATAATAATCATAATCATCATCATATTAAATAATAACATTAATACCAATAGCAATGATAATAACAATAACAAAATTATTAATAATAATGATGATAATACCGATGTGATAATAATCTTAATCATACTTATTCTACTACTAATAATAATAATTATAAATGATGATAACAATTTGTCTGCGGGGCCTGCAATCAGTAATACCCCAGCTATAGCCAAGTACCTATTTACATCTGGATGGAGAGGGTCAAATGTGGTTTAATGCCTTGTCAAAAGACTTTAGTGCCGAGCTGGGATTCGAACCCTCAAACCTTGGATTAAGAGTCAAGTGATTGGCCCACTAACATGTATAAATTCAAGATGGGTTGATGAATTTTCAGGAAATTTTTTGAAATATCTGTGAACTCCAAGGTGCTCTTTTTTAGTAAAAAAAAAAGAAATTTCCAAAAGAACCTTGGAAATCTTGAAATCAAAATGAAAATGGATAAAATCATAAACTGTATTATACTTTCATACATTGTATCATAAACGTTTCATTTGTTTATATGTAAATGACTTTGTAATTAATTGTTGAAAGATTTTTTTTTGTTACGGGTTATTTTTCTGCTACATTATATCATGCTATAAACGAGTCTGATTCTCGATTTCACCTTCCGGGATTACTTTTAGATAAGTATTGCTGTTGTCCTTATCAAAGAAGGACACGAATAATCGAGTGCCACCATGATAAAAATATACAACCACTTGTATGCCAGGTGCCAATTTCCAAAATTCGTAATTAATGGTGATACAGTTATAAGTATCTAAAACATAATCTGTTGAGATATGAACGTGGCAGCCAGCAAAATTATACGAGTAATAGTGACAAATTAGTGTAAAACCCCCTCATACATTCTACATAAGCATGTAAGTCATGAAGAGTTCTCATTGAGTATGTCTATACTGGGCCTATGCGTGAGATTTCTATAGATGTCTGTAGTATTTCCTAGATTGTGTCTCTTGTTACATTCACAAACGGAGGAAGGCTTCTTCGGTTAACCATAGACCCGCATGTTCTTTCCTTACACTCAAAGGATGTCAACTTATTCAAATCGTTTCCAGTATACCTCTTGGATACCCTCCAACCGCTTCCTTGTCTTTTGTTCTCATGCATAACAAAGTATTAACAAGGAGCACTTAAAGACCACCATAACAAAAGCATTTTACCCCGTGTCTTACCTTGCACTGATGACGTCGTAATGACATAGGTGATAATCCATGACAAAGCGATTTGAGTGCGTAGCTTGGTGTCCATATTGATGAAGCCTGTTTATAATGCCAACAAAAAACAAATAAACAACTAAATCATTCATACCCCTTGTAATTTGATGAATTTGTGTTTATCGTAACTCATCAAGAAATATAAATAGGTACAAATCAATATTTCACATACTTACACAATTACAAAAATTGGTAAGGGTATAAATAATTTTGTTGCCGACTGTACACAATTATTCGAAATATTGTTCTGTGAAATATAGTTTTCTGAAGATATGTTTCAAACTGATGACATGGCACGATATCAGTCCAACATATTTGGGAATCCACGTAACAGAGAAAACAATTACCTAATAAAATGACCCATTTTCAAAATATAAAAATAAATTTGCTGAGTTAATTGACAGACACCATGTTTACTAAACCCGACTTACAAACAGTCGTAGCATATTTCAAAACATACACCTGTATACCCATAACCCATGAACATCGAACAGGCAAAAATCGAAATAATCATAATTTTGCTTGAAGATTTCCAATATATTTTCACTAAAAAATGTACATTTCGCGTCATTCACAGCAATGCGAATGCGACATTATTTTAAACGACCTATAGTATAAAGACTGTGTTTTGTTGTACACAGTTAGATTTATCCGAAAGAACATTAACAACAAAATTGAAATCAATCACAGGTTCGAATAAATCTGAAAAATTACTTACTTACAGTAAATGCCTAGATCCCACTTCTCTTTATTATTAAAAAAAAAAACTGTTTGAAGCTATTGGAGTAATCTGTTTCCGAATCAAAATATGAAAAGTGATGGCAGATGGGCTCGGGTCAATTAAGTTTACAATCTTATGATTATGAATTATGTGCATTCATGCATGCTCATACGTCAGAGTAGGAAATTTCCTCATCATATTAACTAGAGGCAAAATTCGGAATTCGGTATAAAGGTGAACTTTCACAATGGGTCCGATATTTTTACTTAATATACTAAGACTCCGTCAACATCGTAAAGGGACTTACTTTCAACTTTTGTCTAAAAGTGTCTGAAACGGGATTTCATTCACATGAAAATAAAACTAAAAACATATTTTAAAATATACTTTAACAAATCTTTGATTTGATTAATATCCAGTATAGAAAAGATATGCACGATTGGCATTCAAGACAGTATACGCATATTTTGCTTTATAAAATAACAATTTCTTTGGATGATTAGCGTTGATAAATTATCAGACCGTACTCAATGAATAACTTACCAGCACGCGGAAGCTCTCGGAGAACAAGTCTGTTGTTACTATCCTTCTGATGTTGACGTTCCTTTCACTTATAAATTCCTTTCAGTTAAAGGTTATTGCAATGACAGCTTTTCCTTGAAGAATACAGTCATCCGTATCCTAAGCAGAAAGCATATTGTCAGCAATCAAAGAAATGATATCTGTTTTTGATCCAAGGATAGTTGTTTGGCGATGGCTCCAAACCTCAAGACGCCGATTCCGAATTAAGTTGTCGTCAGCCGTTCTAATCGAAAGAATTACAACGTCTATTAACCCCAGCAGATTACTCCCGCTATCACTCAGTCGAAACCACTTAAATGATGATTAAAAATCAAAGAAGTTAACGACTGGTTTGCGAACAAAAATGTTAGAAAATGTGTACCATCGAAAGTGATCAACCCGAATGTTATACAAACATGTCTGCATGTGATATTGTCGGAGAAATGTTGTCTGAGTAATCAAAATCAATTGTTTACACAATCAGTCCGTCACGATAACGTTTTTTTAATATATTTTATTCACTTTTTCCCTGTAGTTTAATCTTCTTATTGACCGGTTCTACAGCCGTGATCGCTTGTCGATGTCGGTAGGTTGATGCTGATTTTCGTCGTAAAATTGTTCACGATCAAACGTGCTCGACGGACATTCTCTCATGTTATTGCTTGCTAAATCAGATTTGGGTTGGTTAACGTCGAGATGGGCACAGCGGGACCAGAACGTTCTCGCAACCTACGCAGATCAGATCTCTTCCGCTTGGGGATCGCTTTACGTTATTTTGACAACATTTCCTCGTCAATGTGATCTCATACTTTCCGCTGAAGTCTCCAGCTCACTTTCCAATTAGAGTCATTATGATATATTGTGTCTAGCAGTGGCATTTTCGTTTTTCTTCCCCACGTTTTCCCATGATAATAGTCCAAAACCAGAGTTTGTATGTTAAAGATGGATGCCCACACAGTGGAAAACCTCACATTGATAAACTTGCAGGAAAATCACTTCGTTATTTCCATGTGCGATTGTTATAGACGAAACACCGAGATAGAGCCAATTTATCTCTTTTCAGTTAATGACAATGGTACCTTCATAATGTCTTTAAGCGGTTTATTTACTTTACAAACAAACCGTTATTTGCGCTTTAAATAAAAAAATCAGTATGATGTTCGCAAACAGTCTCGATACCCACAAAGCGTCAAAAAGCAGCTTTATTAAAACTCGTCCCGATGTGTACTGAAAGCAAGACCGCTAAATCGGGGAACCGGTGACTGTGTATAATACGAGCGTTGGTTGAGCCCAGTTGTTGACATGGGCGTACACCCCAAAATTCTCTCCGTGACCTATCCCATTCATAACATGTTGAACTAATAAAGTCTCGTCAAATATACCCAGGACCTCTCTCCTATTTGATCCGATTGCTTTGTTTGCTAAAACGCTAGGTACAGAGTGGGTTAGGACTTTATATAGCCGAGTCTGAGGCTAAAGTGAAAGGGTTTTACCTCAGCCAGAATAAAGTATGTGGCGTAGGAATGCTAAACGTATAGACGTCCGATGAAAATGATGTTACGTAATCCCTGATGACGCATATGAAATCAATTTAAAAAATGTAGCGAATAAGCAGAATAAAAGCATTCACTAAAAATGTTAGAAATGTTAAAAATGAAAATGGTAGTTTTCGTAATCCAGAACTCAAAAGGTGTTTGATTACATTCAGATATAAACAAAATATTACTGTTCAGTTTTTTAAATTCATCCCGGCGTAATAATAGTGTCAAAATATGCCCTTGCTAGCAATAATTATTTAGTGTAAAAATGCATCCATGCTTTTCTCGGTTTCTAAAGGTATACCGGCGTACCCACCCCCTCCGCCATAAAACAAAGACAGACCTTGTATGTTACAGTGTAACAGAGAGGAAGATTACTTGAAAATGAGCTTTTGAGATTGTCTATATGCTTGAGTGCAGCTTCCGTCACTAGCGATAATTCATATGAATAGCTGAACCTTAAACCTTTTCTAACTTGACATTTGACAATCCTTTTTTTTTTGGGGGGGGGGGTAATATAGACATACACACTCTAACACTCGACACATTCACATTTTCTTAGGCGTGACTTATGTTCATATACTCGACAATAATTTAAAAACTTTAATAGGACATGTCATTTCGGTTTCGTTTGATATTCATGCAGGGAGGGGGGGGGGGGGGAGTATACGATATTAAAAATGTTGCCCTCCTTTCTATCCGTGTATGCGAGCGTTTGTGTGTGTGTTTGTGTCTGTGTTAGTTTGTAAGGAGAGGGAACAACCCCGTCCGACGGGATTTCCTCGCATGCGTATCGAAAATACATCCATTGTATTGTTGGAGGAGGCGGGCCGTGGCGAAACAGCAAAGGCAATTTGGTTATGACATGGAAGGACGTGATTACATTAAAATGATGATGATGTGATTATATATATAATAAAAGTAATAAACATAAAATACTACTAATAAAATACTAATACAACTACTGCTAGTAGGAGTACTACTACTATGACTGCTACTACTACTACTACTACTACTACTACTACTACTACTACTACTACTTCCACTACTACTACTTCTACTACTAATGATACAAAATATCACATTTCTTGGTATATTTCCGCTCAAAGATTTTACATTTTAAGGGGCACATTTTAAAAGTACGCAGGGTTTGAAGGGTCAAGTTTTAAAAGGGGCACGGGCCTCTTGTGCGCCCCCAGAAAAAAAAACTGCCATCGAACCACCATCCATCCAATCATAATTATTGTGTATCCTGCTCCGGCTGCTGCTTGTAATGCAGCTGACTTTGACATCACTGTTTCTCTCTCCCTCTCTCTCCCTTTCTCTCCGTCTATGTATGTCTGTCTCTCTGTCTGTCTCTCTCTCTCTCTCTCACACTCTCTTTCTCTCTTTCTCACTTTCTCTCCGTCTGTGTATGTCTGTCTGTCTGTATGTATGTCTGTTTGTCTCCCCCTCTCTTTCTCTATCGCATTATTGAACTCAGGAATCTGTCAAACTGTGCTAAAGTTCATTAGACTCACCAACGTTGAGTGGAAACGAGATATTGGAATATTGAGAGATAGAGAGAGAGAGAGGGGGAATGAGAGGGAGAGAGAGAGAGAGAGAGAGAGAGATCGGCAAAGGGAGGAAAAGAGCGAGCGGAAGAGGGTGACAGAGAATATGAGATAAGGAGTTAGAAATATGGAAAGAGACGGAGAGGAGAGAATAAAACAAGTCAACAGTGGATGGAGAGAGAACAGAGAGAGGGTGAGCAAGGGATACAGGCGGCAATGGCAGTAAGGGGTGGTAAGGGGAATTTGATAAACAAATTCCCGGTTCATAATTGAAAATACATTGACACAGAACAGCGAGAAGGAGAGGGGAAAGCGGGAGAAATTAGGATCGAGAAAGAGAGAGAAAGAGACAGACAGACATAAAGAGAGACATGCAGAGAGAGAGAGAGAGAGAGAGAGAGAGAGAGACGGATAAAGATAGACAAAGAGGCATACAGAGAGATATAGAGAGATACAGAGATATACAGACAAAGGCAGAGAGAGAGAGAGAGAGAGAGAGAGAGACGGATAAAGATTAGACAAAGAGGCATACAGAGAGATACAGAGAGATACAGAGATATACAGACAAAGGCACAGAGAGAGAGAGAGAGAAAGGCGGATAAAGATAGACAAAGAGGCATACAGAGAGATACAGAGAGATACAGAGATATACAGACAAAGGCAGAGAGAGAGAGAGAGAGAGAAAGGCGGATAAAGATAGACAAAGAGGCATACAGAGAGATACAGAGATATACAGACAAAGGCAGAGAGAGAGAGAGAGAAACAGAGACAGAGAGAGAGAGAGAGAGAGACAGAGAGACAGAGAGACAGAGACAGAGACAGAGACAGACAGACAGACAGAGATGTGGTTTGATTGCACAGGTTAAACCTGCTGAGGTCGTCCCAGAATCCCAGCATGGTAAGGATGATCTCACCGTGTCTCATTTCGTTTCGAAAGAAATTCTACCACATCAAGAGAACAAAGCCTCTGACAATGTGACAAATCGTGTTGAAAAATAAATGAAATTGTTGACATAAAACAAGTACGGAAGTTTGTGATACTTGTTTTTAATGTTTTAAGCAAAATAGTATCTTTAGTGGCATGATTGGTCTTGGAAGAAGATTTTATTTTATTTTGAAATTCATTTCTAGTGGGTGTAATGAGAGAGATCTCACGGGGTGTGTTTTCTTTTTCATCAGTCACGAAAGCGTAATGTACGATGACTATTGAGAACTTGTACACCTACTGTACTAAACTGGAACGGGGCTAAAGCGCATCACAATCACTGCGGACTGCCCCAGCCCCCCCCCCCCCCCACAAAATATATATAGGAAAAACACGATTAAAAAATAAAATTCATCATGATCAGCTACGCATGATTATTATTAAAACCACATGCCTAAAAAACGTGATATGATAAGAAATAAGTATTTTGTTATCTTATTAGTAACGATACTGTTGATGAACGTTTCACATTCTCTTTCGTATTTCCTATCTCGCCAATATTGCCCCCCCTCTCTCCTCTCTCTCTCTCTCTCTCTCTCTTATCTTTTTTTAAACAAAACTTCAACATCTAATCTTCAGTCTCCAACATGCTAACAAATAACATAGCTGGGATTCTTCAACTGACACTTTGGGGAAAAGAGTATTATCTTTCTTCATTTGGTTAAAAACCCACCATGATTTGAAGTGATCTAAATTAATTACTAAAAAAAACTTTCAATTGTGCCAAAATACTAAGCATACTTGCAACGTAAGTCTTATACCTTACAAAGTCATTTGCAGTCTCTGTACCATTGAAATAAATGCCACTCAGCAACGCATACAAGTAATCACATACATAGAATTGTTTATTCGATAAAATGTTCAATAAAATGCTCTATAAAATTCCACAACCAATATAATATTGCATGTATACGTTCTATTATACTCCAACTATCTATATCTGCACAATCTCACTAAACACTAACTACTTTCAATCATCTATAGACAAAGGAAAGGCTTAAAACTATGGCGTCTGCAGACTATTACAATTTTAAAACATCCTCCAGGGGTAGATCCAGGAAATCCAGGAAATTCTGTGAGCCAAACGGAGTTATTGACATTAGGTGTTGACTCTAGTGGTCTTAAATATCATTCTAAAAGATAGCAACCTTGTTGCATATGAATATATTCCAATCGTCCATATGATATAGCAATTGCATATGATAAAAGACGACAATTTCAGAAATCATGTTGTGCTGTAATCATGATTCTACACTCCTCTTTCTGAGCTTTACCATTCGTCGATATAATTATATTGTGAAGAAGATTGAAAAGACTTAAACAAATCAATATTTAGGTAACTTCCAGATCCTTAAGCGTCACCTTTTGAAATATACGAACGCTAAAATGCCATGTTACATGATGCGAACTTGATTGTGATAGGCAATACCACAGGGTATTAAAATTGCTTTTTGGGATGATTTCTCGAAAGTCTTTGCGATGTTGTCAAAGATGGCAGTATAATATTATATCTGTTTCCTGTTTATGAATAACATCACATGATTACATCATAATTGTGCGCTTAAAATGTGAAAGCGTCAGATTTGACAGAATAAAATACTTTAAGATGGATTCATGCTCTACAATACAGAAGGATACATGCACAAATCCACTTGCCTAGGTTTTACTGAATATATTATATGTCATTTGAATATATAATAATTAACATGTTTAAAACAGGGCCCGTTCACACTTCATCTACAATAGAGTATCATAATGCCTCTTGCACACGAATCGTCATTTGCCCGATGTACTGGACGGCGTCAGAGGCTGGTGCGGTCCGTGACGAACGGTGATAGAGTGAAATCACACAAACGGTGCTTGTAAAATGAATATAACAAACAAAGCGTCAATATTGGCGGACATGATATCGCAATCGTGCGCTACGGGATTTTCTCATCAGAAGTTCCGCCATATTAGTTGGACGATGAAATAAAAATGATTTCATCCATTAAATGGTGAGTTGACCCTGACATTACATTTACTTGAAAAAAACGCAGAGAAATAGAAAATCGGGTTCCAGTTTTTAAACAAGAATTATAAATAAACGTAAAGAAAGTTATAGACTGTCGCAGTCGTGAAGATTACTACACAAACTGAACCACAACAAAAGTCATGAGTTATTTTTCATGTGTCTGTACACACCATTTAACAATTTATGTTTTTTAATTTATGTTACGTGTTCCTTTAATGTATGATTTTAAACGCGTCTAATATGCCCCCTTCAAATCATCAATAGTCAAGAAGATTTGTATTTGTCGTATTGCCAAAACACGAAAAAGGAGGATCTTATTTTCGAAAACGTTGATAACTTTCTTTTTTTCCTCACGATTTCACTTTGATAATCAGAGTGGATTTACTCTTTGACCTCATAGCCTCTGCAATGTCAATGTCGGTCTGAAACAGCGTACTATACATGAGCATTTTCAAATAAATAATCCACGTAGTTAGATTATAGGCATTTTCCCGTCTTAACCGTGTCATAATACTAGCTACATATACTATATCACGCACACTTCCATCTTAGGGGATGCTCAAGGAGCCTAAATGTACTACAAGTACTACCTTTACCATGGCTTTAGCCCAGCTGCAATATGGCGCTAAAAGCATTTAGGGGATAACCTCCTACAGGTACCCATATACTACACCCGGGTGGAGAGTGGCAAAGTGACGCCACTTGAGCGAACCGCGAACCATGTGATTCACAGCCCGGTTACATAATCCAACAGACCACGACCCTTCTACCTATGAAGTTATGTAAAATGAATAAAATGTCTCACCTAACGGTGCAGTCTCATACTTTGACCCTGTAAATAACCGACAACGAAACTAAATACTATATCTAAAATTTCAAAAACAATCACATACGTTATCAATCTTTCCCCTAACACGGGCTAACCATCACGGATAACCGTGACAAACATCCCGACATGTTTTCTAAAAGCCTTAAATGTTAACTTAATGTAAAAATAAGAAAGTGAAGCGCCTAGATTGAATAAAAGCCCAAATATCAGCACCATAAATGAATACATATATTTTAAAAATGAAACTGAATACTATTAAACCTAAAGTCAATACACAACAATATCTAACTTCGTTAAAACGAAATACAGTACAACAAACAAACAGGGATATTTTTCTATCTTAATTTCCTTAATGTAAGACTAAATAGAATTGAACAAACAAGGAATATTTGAAATTAATCCTTTTCCCCCCTCCATCTTACTTGCAGGCCAATATAACTTCAGTACGTGACAAGGAAACAAATACCCATTTTGTTTTGTTTTTGGTAGATGTATAATTATCTTTGATATGGATATTTCAGTTCGTAGAAAATTACAAAGAACTGCAAAGTGATTTTTGTTCTGATTAGGATTAATAGCTACAGTATGATACATAGCCTATAAGCTGCAAACCCCTCTTCTTGAAGAGTCTTTTGTTCCATAACATTGTGTACGATAAACTGACAGTGCATAATGTAAAGTAGTTCAAAACAGGGGACGCTACTTTAACCCGAACGCAAAGACTTTCGAAAAATTAAACAAAGGCAGTTTCAATATCCTAATGTACGCCTATATCCCACATGAATCATTTTCGGATTACGTAATACCTCATGTTGTTCTTACATTCCATAAAGTGATGGGCAAGGATACTGAAATGACCTTAAATGAATATTCCGAAAGTCATTGTGATCGTCTTCTTTGCAATGTCATAGCTGACACTAAGCATAAACGTTAACATTACATTGACATTATATAATGACGAAGTAGGGAAAATATTGAATACATTACAGCCTCTTTTTTAACAAAGAACATAATTTATTCAACAGCTGCTCTTGAGTTTTGATGGATACACATGTACGAATCAACAGCGTATGCGTGGATTGATGCTTCGCATGTTTAGTTGATATCTTAATCGATGTACGTTTAAGTTTACTTCGACTTCAAGCGTGTGACTATTAGAATGAAGTTCTTAGATACATTTCAGGCTCGTATACTTCATTGAATGTTGTTCCTTACTACACCGTGTTCTAATACAAGCAATATTGCTATCTCGTTCCAACGAACATTTTACTTCCAAAATAAGTTACTACATACAAAGGAAAAATTCCGTCTCAATCAAGATCATCAATAATAAGGATGATAATGATTACCATGATATCTGTATACTGGTAGAGACTATTATAATATTACTCGATTAAATATTCATATCGGTCAGATCCGAAAATGGTGACTCCTAGTAGAGGTTCGGAAACTTCATTGGGCATCCATTTTGTTTTCTACTGCGCTGCTATCGGCTGAAGACGGAGTGAGCAACGTTTGCTCACTGCTTTTCGTTACCACTATGGCATCGAAGCTTAGCCGGACGGTGACCCTGCCGTCAGGGTGCTGCTCGCAGTGGTCCAGCAGCCGCTTCATAAGTCGGTCCCTGTCTGAGGTCGTTAAGGTCTGGTACACCTGGGCAGCGTTGGTGAGGCAGATGAAGTCCAGGAGAAGTTTTCCACTTTTTGAATCTTCCTTGAAGCACTCGGTGATATCTAGGTGGTAGATGACGTTCTCGATGTCGTACTTGAGTCCCAGACGTCGCAGGACACGCGTGACGTCGTCGCCGTAGCGCTTTTTATTCTTCGGGGTTTGCTTGTTCCGCTTTGGTTCCAGATCGAGGAAGGACTTGAATAGGTCGTTGTTCTCTGCAATCAATCAAATTTTAAACACAATATTTGAATATTTTTGGGGGAGCTAAACAACAAGCTGACAATTGTTTTTAATGCCAAAGAGGGTCTACTTCAGAACGCATGCCCATCATTAGGCCTATTCATGTACATCGAATTAAGACTTTGTATTATCAATGATGAATGTAATCAATGTTTGGTGTGGGACACATCAGCACAAAATTGATCTTTGTTTTACATCTTGATGTCACTTTCAACGAGCTTATCAACTTAGTTCGGATTTACAACCAAACAGGAGCAGTCACACGACCAAACAAGATTTTGGGAACAACAAGCTGGAACATTATATCAATAAATCATATTCTATGTAGCATAGAAATCCTCATTAATCCGAGTTGCATCTTTTGTGGGTGAAAATGTAATATATATGATAATTATGGAGCCACATCTTTTTCACATAATTATTCAGGCCACGTATAAGATATTTGAGAGTCACAGTCACTTTGATTTGATAGCAACTTGTCAAAAAGGGACAGTTGGCATTGAATTCTTGAAGAATGAAGGGGCACGAAGGCAAATGAAAAGTGCCTTAAAAAAATGTGTTGAAAATATATATATTGTGTGTGTGTGTGTGGTTTTGTTTTGTTTTTTGTTGTTTGTTTTTGTTGTTTGTTTGTTTGTTTGTTTGTTTGTTTGTTTGTTTGTTTGTTTTTTTTTTTTTTTGGGGGGGGGGTGTCTTCAGGCTGTAGACCTACCCTGAAGTTAGAAGAGTAAAGGGGCGGTATCCAATCAGTGATGCCGCGAGACCAGTTGCGGTCTTGTGTAAGTATTGGCCTTGATCCCAAACCCAAATGCGAAATCAATGTAATTAAATATCTTTCTTTCTCCTACTCAGGAGCCGCCAGGTCTGATGGCATTTAAAAAAATGTTTAAAAAAAAAAAATTCATCCACCGATTCTTTGTGCGTAATTTCATACTTCATGGTGATGCTGGGCCGTACAAACTAACCAAGTGTCCGGTGGCTTTGCGGGAACATCCCCACCCCCACACAACAAATATAAGAAGACCCCCCCCCCCCGCTTTTTTTTTAATTTTCAAAAATAAATTTTGTTTTCTTGCTTGTCAGGTCCCTGAGAGACCCCCCCCCCCAAAAAAAAAAAAAAAAAAAATAATAATAATAATAATAATAATAATAATAATAATAAATAAAAATAAATAAATAAAAATAAAAATAAAATAAATAAATAAATAAATAAATAAATAAATAAATAAATAAAAAACGGGTATTTAGGATACTAACTTTTTGAAGCTATCGTAATGAGCATCACCCCTCCATCAAGCAGTGCCCTGTAGTAGTTGCTGATGGTCGAGTCCACGTCTCTCGCGTGGTACAGCATCTGCAACATGTGGACGAAATGAACTTTAGGGAATGCGCCCTCCGCGATAAGTTGGTTCATGGTTGCCTGAAATTGAACAAAATAATTTAAATCGTGAATTCTCTTTTCCTTTCATGTTATTTTTCTGAAAAACAAACAAATATGGGCATGGGTATATATGCGAAGTCTAGTAGTCGAATGATTAATAAACAACAATGTAATAAACACAAAAATGACCGAAAGGGGAGAGTATTATCATAGTTAAATATTAAGGTATTTTAAGTTTTAAAGACCGCCAGTACTAGTTTGGCTAGCGGAGGGATTAGACCACACAGCGAGGTCGCTGACAGATGGCTATCTCATCAACTCAGCTCTCAAAAAACATAAGAAATAGAGGATCATGGGGGACCAACAGGTACCGATTGGGGAAGTTTTCTATATAGAGGGAGCAAGTAGCTACAAATAGGACAGTGGGGCTTTAAGTAATAATAATTGATCGAGAAACGGTGAGGAACGAGACATAGAAACGTATAAAGATGGATAAAATGGATAGGGGGAGCTCCGGAGGAAGAATGCGTGATTGAGAGAGAGAGAGAGAGAGAGAGAGAGAGAGAGAGGGGAGACATGTTTCAATAACACAACGTTACATTTATTATTGTTGGGGGTGAACAAAAAAAAATCCCGACCCATAATTGGCGTCACACGTACTTATCGGAACAAAGGGAGTGCCATTGATTTCTTTCTGTATTCAGAACGATCTGCAAATCCATTACTTCATCAATGCTGAACATTGATGGTTACGCTTGATAATTCCCCCAAAATATTTTATCCTTTTCATTTCGGTCTGAAGAGCGGAAAGACTTATAGTTACGAGGAGAAAAATCCCTTCACGATATCATCAGGTCTGCCAGTGAAAAAGCTATTCCTGTTTTCAAGTTCTTAAATTTGAATATTATTAAAAACACTTCATGCACAACTAAGTTCACTTTCCCTCACTCGAGATTTACATGGATTAAGTTTTCGAAAGAGTAACATTGTATAGTTTGTGCATATATTATATTGTAGTGATTTGCAAAATCTTTTCATACGCTGAGTTTCTACAGCTGATGAACTTTCAGAATCAGTATTTTGATACACTGGATTAAAAGTAAGATAAAATCGCATTAGTATAGGATTAACCTCAATTCATCGTTAAGATACTATCAGCTAACTTTGAAATAACAAACACACCATGGGTCAAACTTTGTCTGAATTCGGAAAAAGTCAAAAAAACAAATATCTACAAAAAGGTCTTGAAAAGACAGTGATGTTGGTATCAAACTTTGTCCGGCTAAAGGGGGCTAGGATTTACAAAAATACTTAATTGTTCGTTGTCAAACACGTCTATTCCAGTGGTTCATGCTTCTCATCAATTTGCGTCTCATGAAAGCTATTCCTGTATACTTTTTTCAACGCATTCATATTTTTTCCCCTTTGATTATGAAAGCAATGAAAACAGGGAAAACTGCACCACAATTATTCACCTTCCATCGCTGTTTGAAATACGTTTTGTGGATGACCGCACCCGTGTACCATACCAACTATAAGGGAAACGGGACCATGGTATTACGATTAAATCATTATCATGATGAATGTTATTTGGAGTCTTCACCAATTTGATTTGTAACACTCAGACTCCTTTTATGAATCATAAGGGATTCCGTCAATTTTATGTCGGTGCTTATATAAATAACAAATGAACATATCGGTTATTGGAACAGGCTTTTCCAAACATTCGCTCAACACAATACCTCACCATGTAATATAACTTGTTTTTCTTTTCTTCGACATCAATCCGTCTTTCTTGATAACAATCATAATCTAAATCCGTCCATAATTTGAGCAACATTGCTTCCGGTGCTTTTATGTTATTGCACCAATACCCGACGCTGTACATGAACATGCATATAGGGACATCGTTAAACCATTTTCTCTGGGGTTTGAAAAAATACTAACAATATTTCATGCAGTCTTCCCAAGCCCCCTCCTTAGCTGGTATTTCGTTGGTGAAACTGAATTTCGGAATTTGCGCACCTCCTTGAGTGAAACTCAATCGTCCGGCTGTTTGTGTTCCAAGTTAAGTAACTTTGCAAACAGATATCGCTGATGAAAAGAGGTTTCGTACCCTTAGTCCCTGAATACGGACCATCACTGTGTATTTAGGATAGGATAATGGCGAATAAATTCTACACTATTGAGCCTCGTTGATACCGGTATAAAAGAGTTGGGATCAGGAAAAGACATGAGCTCCAGAAATGCATAGGCCTAAATATTATGACAGGCATGAGTCCATTCCATTTTTAACCCCTCTTCCCCGTTTACATACCGAGTTCCCAACGATGCAGTCATGTTCCATTGTAGTACATTATCGGGAATGTAAGATGGGTGTTTGCAATTTGAAAACAAATCATTTTTATTTGTTCATAATACTTCTCAAACTGTTGCATAGAAAGTGTGAGATATTGCTTTTTATACATTTTACTCGTTCCTAACCTCAACATTTGCTGAAATGGTTTTATTTTTTGTTCCATCACCCATATTCATTCTCTATTTGAAAATGACGCACGAACACAATTAGATATATATATATATAAGAATGTTCATTTACATTATTAGGAATATTATACAGGCATTTGAAATTAGAAAATAGCAATGTTTTTTTTTTTTTGGGGGGGGGGTTTGGGGGGGGGGGGTCATGAGTTATCCCATTAGAAACGGTGGTATAGAGATATATATAGGTTTTACACATTAGTTACCTCAAAACCTTCTGTAGTTGCATGTATCCAGTCAAATGTGAACGATTTCAGTCTTTCGTCTTCTTCTATCCTCGCTTTAAATCGGAGAAGTTCGGAATCATTCGGCTCAACAGCGATCTGTTGCGTAAAGGCACTCAACGAACTCAGCTCGCGTAGAATTTGTACATCCATTATACCTGTCATGACAACAATATTCAGAGTAATATTATGCCGATTTTCATTACGAATATCAAGGTTAATCATGACAACGTGAGACAAGTTCCAACTCCCAATTAATGCAACAAGTAGTGACAAAACTCGTTTTGACCTTGTTAATACTTAATTTTGCCTTTCAGAACACCCTACATTGTTTTGGGTGTGGTTAATGTTATACTTGTTAGACCCAAAACCCTAATTACTTTAATGGTCACGTGAGTCTTGTATACCTACTCCGAGGAAAAAGCAGTGCCGCGATTCATTATCTATAAATCGTTCGTAGGTTAATGTTTTATGTATATCATTATAAAATTATGATATTTTCTCATGTATGTTATATTATTTTTATTTAAATTGATTTATACATCTAATCCAGAAGGATATTCACTCATGCACGAAAAGTAGCCCTTCTGGACATGGAGCTATGTCAGGCAAGGCTGTGCTGGGTATTTATACAACCGATATTCGTCCAATAACATTAAAGGGCAAGTCCACTCCAAAAATAGCTTACTTTCAATAGAAAGAAGAAAATTATTTTTGGAGAGGACTTAGCCTCTAAACGAAGCCGGTAGTTTTACTACAGTCGTGCCTATCTATGTGATTGTCATTGGAGCTTTTAAAGATAAACTCCAGTTCTGGTTAAAAAAAAAAGAAATTAATTCTCACAGAATCAAACGAAACTTACACTGAACGTTCAAGATTACAAATAAATGACATGTGCCAAACAATTTTGGAAGAAAATGTATACTGGCTGAGTAATGAGCATAGAAAGACAAGGAAATCACGGTAGTACTAGCCCCGACACCATGTGTGTTGTCCCATATATAGCTTTCTGTGTATAGTGCTTGTTACTTTACCAAGACTCGGTCAAATTTATTATAATTTTGATGACACCAGAACCTTGCAGTGCACACCAATACTTACATGCTACATGATCAACTGATTCTGATCCTTTCCACATCTTTTCTTTCACAATGCAATCGCATTACCAGTACTAAAGTTTATTTTTAAGGACAAGGTAGCCTCTATCTTGTAACAGTTTATACACATGTATGTAGAGATAATTGAACACGATATTGATTTTTTAAATTTGCTATCAGTGCAATTATATAGGAATAGTGATGTTATATACGCCCGCCCCCTCCCCACACTCAGTGTTATTTAGTGTACGCATAATGCTTGTCCCCTCTTTTTGAAAGCACCCCCTATCTGAGGACTGCCAACATTTCCGACCCCCCCCCCCTTTCGCGGGCGTTTCGCGGGCTTTTCCTGCCTTGGAGACCCCCCTAAATCATGAAAAATGCTTAATGTACCCCCCTAAATCATGAAAAATGCTCAATGTACCCCCCTAAATTCGGAATAATTTCTCAGTCCAAAAAGATGAGAGAAAAAAAAAAGATAAAACACCCCCTTTTTAGAGAAATCTCCGGGTGAAAAGTTAATACACCCTTTTTTTTTTACAATTCTCGGGCCGGACTTCGTCTCACGAAAAGTACCCCTTTACCGGACATTTTGGTAACACGCATGAGGTCCGTCCGTTCTAGGAGTGGGGGGGGGGGGGGGATATACGTTAGTTATCTCAATACATGAAAGTTTTGTTTAATAGCTTGACTTGGTTTGTGTTGCGTCTATACAGGCGGCTATACATATTTTGGGCGTGGCATTGATTAAGTCACGTTACATAATTATACGACTTTCGGAGCTTAATTCAGAGTGGATAATTACTGCTAGATAATAACACCGAATTCATTCAATATTTGTATCCAGCATTTTGTTGGTGATATTTAATCACCTGGAATGAGAAGTGTTGTGTTTATGATGTCGTAAAATACGATGCGGTTCAATAATATTATTCAATGAGATGTTTTATTCACCGTACGGTTAACCGTATGGTATAATGTTATTCTAAGAAGCAACTTCTTGGTTATTCTTGTTTTGAGATTTTTGGGGATTGATGAGTATGGTATATAAGTATCAGACTGAGTTTATGTATAATGCAGATATTACAACAAATATTGGTTTAGACTACTTTTCGTGCATGAGTGAATACCCTTCTGGATTAGATATATTAATTAATTTAAGTAAAAACAATATAACATACATGAATATATATCATAATTGTATAATGATATACATAAAACATTACCTTCTAACGATTTATAGATTGTGAATCGCGGGACTGCATTTTTCTTGGAGTAGGTATACAAGACCCACGTGACCATTAAAGTAATTAGGCTTTTGGGTCTAAAACGTATCCATTAACCATACCAAAAATGTTGTAGGGTGTTCTAAAAGGAAAAAAATAAATTTGAACAAGGTCAAAACGAGTTTGCTCACTACAATATATCCCTCTCCCCGGACATTTTCTTTTTTCCTTTCTTAATAAAGTTGAAAATTAGGGATTAGAGCCTTTGTATGCACCAACCATGCAGTCCTAAATACTTTTAGGTGCTGGTTACTTGACAATATACCACACAAAAGTCATGACAATGGACGTAAGCACACAAAATGTTGAAAGACGTCTTTAATACGGAGCCTTTGGCGAGATAACAAATTAAACAATATGTCCAAAATATTCAACTCAAGGCAAAAGCAGTTCCTCATTCACTAGAAATTCAATCATATTTCCGACTTTGATAGGTTGTGCACTGTATAAAGAAAGGTTTAAATTGTTCGAATACCATTTCAACAGACTTGAGTTTAAAAATATTTCCTTGTTTATCTGTCTGACACACCCTCACCTTCGGTCAATATCTTTGATTGACACAGGCAGGTTTTGTTCACATAATAGAAATACAAAATAAATCTTAATAAGTGGGAAGAAGGAGGAAAGACCGAATAATTCTGCATGTAGCCTATGGCAAATGTCCACACACCAGCCCACAATCTCAACACCGACTTTTAAGGGTCCTTCGGCTCTCTTTCATCATACACGCGCCTTGAAAAAATACTGGTCTAACCATTTTATGTAAACTGGTGCTCATTGGTTGGGGGGGGGGGGCAGGGGTAGCCTACATGTCATCGTATTGTAAAATCTCATAGTAGAAGTAAAGACAATATATTTAAAGCCCCATTACCTGAAAAGGGGTTCATTTTATCACGTTTTAATGTGCAGTCAAGTGTTCAAATTGCCATTGAATACAACAATTGTTCCGCGTTTAAACCTGAACGAAAAATTATTACTCACCCTTATTAAAACCATGTAAACCCAACCTAAACTCGAATTGATATCCTAGCTCTTTCACTAATATATTTGACGAAATAAAGCCCAGAGATCAAGTCACTGGATCAATTAAAATGGCGTATCCAGTATTTTCACGCGGAGGTGAGACACAAGTTAAAAAATCGAGTCATGAGCAAAAAGAAAACCATGTTCAGGTGTCTTTGGGTCTAAAATTGCTGCCTGCTGGGGCGCATTCATTTTATGGAGCTTGGTTAAAAAAGTATATATCTATTTGAAATATTTAACGTGTAGCATGCCAGAGATGATATGCAAAACAGGGCGACGGCGCACCTCGCGCACACCCCCCCCCCCCCATTTTTCCGCCACTGTGAATGAAAGGAACTCTACTCACCGTTACCGCAGCCCACACCGACCACCCTGACGGGGTTGAGTGGTGAGCTCTTTTCGATGGGAAGCACATTGAGGATGTTGAGACATCTATTCTTGATCCAAGCTAGCATCACCTCCTCCTGGTCACATCGACGTATAAACTCGGTCAAAGCATCCAGATAGTGGTACTCTTCGATCGTGGTCATACCGCTATCACGTCGGTTAGCCTAGAGAGACATGAATAAAGAACAATTAATAGAAATTTAGGGAATACCATATAGGATTATATTTGAGCTACTGTTCGACCAAAGCTGAGACCAGGCCACAATATTATGCTGTTTTGTTTGTCTGTTTCTATCGTCGCCGTCGTCATCATTAGGGAGTTTTCGCAAGCTCAACGCGGACGGAAAATCTGCGGTTCGTGTGCAAAATTGAGAAGCTACTATTCAGAATCAGTATTAAAACAAAATTTTAAAAAAAGTTTCCACCTAGAAAATGGCTAATTATTTTTAAAAAGCTCGTCGGCTCTTTTGGGTCGTTAATAGTCAAATGACACATCCCTATAGAATCCCTCACCTAAAATAGAGTTAAATACTGCAGATGACCAACTTTAACAATCTTAACTTCACTCTAAATGAGTACACGCTAACTAAACATTCATCGCCTGCATTAAAGCAATATTTCTATAGTAAGTTGACCATTAAATTTACACACCACAAAACAAAATCGTCTCTACAATTACCTGAAAAGTCTTTTTAACAATTGAGCATAATGTAATAAAAGATTAAAGCAGAGACAAATCACCATAGATATTTGACATGTATGTACCTGGCACGAAAAAACCGACTAGTATCGATCACATAACATTATAATTAAATCAAATAAAAGTACCAAGCATTACATTGTATGTATGTTTCTCATTACTATAATGTCATAACTTACCGTAGTCACACGTAGAAAATTATAATAAAACTACTTCGAGAGAAAATATTTTCTCAAGCGCATTCAAAAGATAACACAGATATTAATTCTCTATCAGAATGCTCGCTAACGATACAATTTAATTTCATGTCACATACCATCAAAACAATATATCAGAGACTATCAAAAACGTATATAAGTCTGAAACACAGAGGACCAGTACATCAAATAATTAAATGAAAAGCTGATATACATGCATGCTTTTGAGTATACATGTACCTTCAATTTTTATTTCAATATCCTTCCCTGTGTTTTTTTACCCATCTGTTTATAAGCAAATACATTTTCCGTTATTATTATGGGCTACACGATAATGCTATATCAAAACAACAAGAAAAGTATATTCAAAACTCAAAACCAGATCAAGATATCTGATAGATAGATGATATATAAATGGTATTTTATTGCATCTTTCATGAATGGCAGTTTCACAACTGAATTGCACATGAATTACACGAATTGGATATATACATTGTAAAAAACTTACATAACATTTAGTTACAAATTATTTAAAAGTGTCACGTTACTACTGCCTAAATACCATAACAATTAAAAAACACTCAATGAACATAATTTCTACCAAAGAAAAAGGTATAAACATGATTACATGCCAACATAATATGGACTAAGGCAAATTATACAACAGTTCGTCACGGTACAATATTGCAGTTGTGGGTATAATTGTCAAATAATCAAGGATAGCGGCAAGAGCAGGTGTATGAACATTTAGTAATATTTGAAATAATTATTCAAAATTAAAAGTAAAATGCAATTCAATATCATTAAAACATACCGGTACGATATACAAAATCATTACAAGAATGTACAGAAATCGAGACATTTCAATGATAAATCATTACAATAGATATTAACATGAGCATATTAACTGTTATTATACAGGCGAATCAAATTTGGAATAGGACTATTTTGCATGCGACTGGTTTTACATTTAAAATCCGGAATTTTCTTTGAATTTCTAAGTGTTTTAGTAAAATGTTTTTGTGGGAGAAATTGTTTAAATTGATCAGTGAGTGATAACGTTTTTTGAAAGAAAGTAACTCATAAATATTGGCGTCTTTCATCTAATCTTTGTAATTGAGATTGTGCAAGTGAAATTGCATAGTTATCATAATCCCTACGAAAAATTATCCGCAACGCTCTCTTTTGTATTCTCTCCAATCTCTCGTTTTGGTTTTGCGTGAGTCCTCCACTCCAAACAGGACTGGCATATTCAAGTAAAGGGCGAATATAACCCACAAAAACAGTAATAAGGTCTTCCTTTGGAAGACCATATTTCACCAGAGAACGTAGCATGTATAGTTTGGCACTTGCTCTTTTTTCGATGTCTTTTATGTGAGCATCCCACTTTAAATTATTCTGTATAGTAATTCCTAGCAATTTAACTCCACTCACTGTCTCCAATAAACAATTCTCTAAAATTATACTAGTTTGATTAACGGGTGCCCTGGAGAAACAGATATCCATTTTTAAACATTTTATAGGATTAAGTTTCATGTTATTAACATTAGCCCAGACAGATAGATTGTCAACAGCTTCCTGCATTTGAGAATCTTGGGCTAGTTTGCGGCACTCGATCATTGTAAGGTCATCAACATATTTAAAAATGTGAATGTTATTATCTACTTGAAAGTCATTAATCATAACTAAGAAAATTAAAGGACCTAGTTTCGTGCCCTGAGGGACACCAGCATTAATAGTACATGAATCAGACAAAACACCATGGTAACGAACACATTGTGTACGACAAGAAAGGAAGTCACATATCCAAGTTATTGCTGAGGATCGGACCCCTATTAGATGTAACTTGCTTAAAGCGACAGTGTGGTCAATGCGATCAAAAGCTTTCTTAAAGCCAGTTAAAAGAATTGTTGACGACGTTTTAGAGATTTCGGCATTTAAATACAAATGATGAAGAATATTAATTAAACAATGAGATGTTGATAGACATTTTCTATTTCCAAATTGAAATGGGTCAATTTGTTGTCCAATGTCCTGTGATATCCATTTTGCCATAAAACCTTCAATAACTTTAGCAAAATGATCGGTCAAAGATATCGGCCTTAATTTATCAATACTCGGTGGACTTGTTTTGGGGATTGGAACAACGATTGCATGTTTCCAAACATCAGGAACCTTCCCACAATTAAAGGAGGTGTTGACTAGACGAGTCAATGGCTCTGCAAGTTCCACAGAGAACTGGCGGATGAGCCGCGCAGAGATGTCATCTGGGCCACTTGAAGTCGAACTTTTAATTTGAGAAAGAGCTCTGTTTACTTGCCACGATTGGACTACCGGAAGACTTTGCGATGACGGCAAGTATGATGGTAGAGCTGAGAGATCAAGTTTTTTCAGATCAGAAGAGACAGATACAAAATGATTATTAAAGGCATTAGCGATTATGCCACTCTCGTCAGGGTTCACACCTGCAACTGGGATGTTAGGTGAACCTTTGCGCTGTCCTGTAAGAACGCGTATTTCGCGATACCAGCGAGAAGGGTTACTCTTTGTATGTCTCTGAACACGTGTGGCATGATAGAAAACTTTAGCATTTTCAATAGATGATTTAACTTTATTACGTAATCGTTTCCATAAGGTATGATTCCCCTGGTCATGTGCAACTTGTCTCCTATGAATTAGTGACTTTATTTCTCCAGTCATCCATGGCTTATCATCACAGTGTAGCTTAACTTTACAAATCGGGAAATATTTATCAATTGCATCATTTAAAGTTTTATAAAAAGCATTACATTGTACATTTACATCATCATCAGTTATAATTTCGGGCCATTCATAACACTAGAGCCATTGTCCAAATGCTCTTATAGAGCTATCCGGCATAGGTCTTTGAGATATATAACGTGTTGCCTTTTTTGGCACTTTAACAATTGTAATAGGAGACCACAATACTGAATTATGATCGGACATTCCAACAGGAGAGCAAATCTGAGGTTTGTTATAATGACAATATATATTAGTAATAATTTTATCTAGAATGTTATCCCCTCTGGTTGGAATTTTAACAACTTGGCGGAGGTTGTGATTCGTAAGTAATCCGTCAATATTCATCTGATTAAAATCACCAAGTATTACTAGACCTGCATCTGGGTGATTTGTTGTGAGGTCATCAATGGTCGCTATCAGGTGATCCGTTAGCTGTGCTTCAAGATGAACATCAGGCTGTGGATAATACACGACCGCACAGAAGATACAAGAGATGGATCTCGGCAGTCGAGGGGGCGGTGTTTGACCCAGGTAACCTCGAGGTTGTCTGGAACCTGGACAGCAACGGGCGAAGGATTGAGGGCTTCTTTCACGTAGATGGCTACACCTCCACCGATGCGGCTGGTTCGCGACTTTGAGAAGAGACAGTAACCTTGGATGGAGAATTGTTCAGGAGAACAGTCGTTCCTGAACCATGTCTCGGTTATGGCTGCAACATCAGTGTAATGGAAGGAGAAGACGGCAGATAGTTCGTCAAATTTATTGCAAGCTGAGCGCGCGTTGCACATGAAGAAAGTAGGCAGGTTACTTTGTTTCGGCTTAGCATTAATAGATTCTCTCTGGACTGGTGTCAAGCATCTCGGGAGACGAGTTTTGGTCGACCGGTTGTAGGCCCGGATCCGATATGGTGATTTGGGGATGGGGTGCTGAAAATGTTTTAGCTTCCGCACTCCAGCTCTGCAACCACGATGAGTGGGGGATGTTTCCTGATTTAGAGCTCTGAAATTGTTTGCCATGTTGGTTTCGAAAGTAGCGAACAAGCATTTGATGGGTTAAAACGAATATTCAAACACTCTTCACGACTGTATTGATAGCGTTTGTTTACCACTGTTTTAGTCAATAAGGGGACTGTTGGGCCTGGGTTAGGCTCGACATCACCACAACAAATGATGGGTATATTAAAGGTAGCACAAGAGTTTAAATAGTATATTGTAGGTGCCTTGCAGTAATGTCTTACACGAATCTGTTTCTGAGTTTTAGCAATCGGCCTGACATAACCGCCATGTTGAAAATGAGACTTACAGTACAAACGTTCACGCACACAAACACGTATACACAGTGTGAGAAGGAAGAGCACACAAACTTTGTGCATATCCATCAGAGCATATCAAGTCTTTTACTACCTTCGCTACTTGGTATTGTTCTGCCCAAATCGTCTTTTGTTCGCTTGGGTCGTACGGAGCTCGTACGGAGCTAGTACACGGTCAAAGCAATACTGGAGCATGTATGTGTTCATGTTCATGTACATACCCATTATTGACAGCAAATTCGGATGATTTGACCTCCAAAATACACCTTAATATCAGTTATTATCACTCCAAAAACGATTCCTCCGAGGTCACTATTGCAATTCACACAAGATTATAGGCAAATATGACAGCAATCAGATAGCTTGTCGGTCAAAATCACGAAAATCGCAGAGAAACCTAAAAAACAATGTGGCTGCCGGTTAAGCGCTCAAAAAGATCTGCTAACATATTCTAACATGTATAGAGCAAAGCAAGCATGATATTCCAAAACATTATCAGCCTTGCATTCATCCACCTAATAAGGGTAAAGTAAGCCTATATCTTATCTGAAAGGGCGAGTAACTTTCTGAGGGAACTCTCCTCCTTTTTCTTTTTGAGGCGCCCCTGCTGCTCGCAATCAGAATCTATCGGGAATAATGTAGCGGTGGTTCCAACTCTGGCCGGTGAGGGGTGAGTCACCAGACCAAAAATTAAATAAACTCCGAATTGAATGATAGGAAAAGGTAACTAATTAAACGCTGGGCATAATGAGTAATAAAGCGTTATATAAAATGATGTCATTAAGTCCATTTTGATTCAAACATTAAACAAAACAGCTTGATGACTGTGAACTGTGATTTTTTTCAATTCCTTAAAAAAAAAAATTATTGCTAACTTACCTCATCGCATAGGGCACAAGCATAACTTCCACATGCACAGCTGTGGAAAACATTCCCCATGGTTACCCTTACATGACTAATAAATAATTTGCCTTCGCCTAATCTGTCGTCTTGCTGACCATGTACAGCAACTGGCAGTCTTAAAACACTTGTTGTTCTTGCATAATCTGCACTCTTCTGGTTCCGCACATGTATTCGTTAAGTCTTATTATGCTTTACATTTTATACTTGAATAACAAGAATTACAATGTTTAGACTAGACCGAAGGAAGACAACATGACCTACATGCGTCACAATATACGCGCACTTATTGCATAACAATATAAATCAACTGAGCGCATGCGCAAATAGCTCGATAGGCTTTGCGCGCAATATGCATTCTGCGGAAAGAAAGTGTATGAATAAAAAGCCCGGATAAAAAGTCGGGATGATTTTTATCACTTTTCTCACTATTTTCCTGTTTTTTCTATATTCTCCGTTGATTCCCGACTTAATTCGGGGACTTTCTAAGTCCACATGGAAAGTCGGTGAACTATCAACAAGGTGTCGTCTTTCAAAGAAGGGTTATAGCAAGGGAGACTGGGGTATACAGCACCCATGATTGCCAGCAACACACGACAGTATCACTCAAAGAAGTTGCTGGCTATCCCATCCCGCACCCAGCTCTACCAGAACTCATTTTTCCCTCGGACAGTAACTGCGTGGAATGCACTTTCAAAGATCACCCTTGACGCTACTTCACTGGAGGGCTTCAAGGGAGCGCTTCCACCAAGCATCTAGACCAATAACTAGATAGTTTATTCCTCAGCACTACATCCTGACTTATGGATCCTGCTGAGTATCGTCGTAGAAGTAGAAGTAGACGTAGAAGTACTATTGTTATAGATAAAATCGCATGGTGACACTTCCTTCTTCATTTTCTATCACATTTATCATGAACCATCTTATACCGCGTTTTTTTTTTGGTGTGCTGAATTATAAATTTAGCTACAAGAGATTTGAGGGTTAGTAATACCTGTCGAAAAGGAAAAAGAAAAGAAGAACAACATGTAAAGTGAGATAGTTTTGCTATTTGGTATTGTGGCGGGGCACCAACATTTCATGCCACTATCCCCGGCTCCGCCATGGTTAAGACAAAAACAAAGGCCTTGACTACTGTATTCTGTTTTAGGCATACATTATTATAGTAGATCTATAGTGGATCCAGGGGGCATAAGATATATACATGGTTCCGGCTATAAACTCGATTTGCCATCGCTTATGGCAACTAAAAAGGATACCTCCTAATGTTTTGCAGAGCCCCTTTAAGATTGAGATCCATAAGCCGACTGAAAATGCAACGCTCCTTTCTTCTTCTGTGAGAGAATTTTTTGAAAATGTGCCCCCTTTCAATAGAACCCTGAATCCACCCCTTATAATGAGGTTGTAGGTGAAAATGAATCATAGTCAAATTACATAGTAAGCTATATATAGTTCCTCGCGTGCAAGACACATTTGAAATAAAACTCGGCTGTATTTTGCTCTTTTTTTTCTTCACGATAAAGACAAAGTTTATCCGTCAAGTCGTTTTCGCAAACACGACAAAAGCAAAGAGGACGGAGTGTTAACCAACTGTCTAGGTTCCCGCACTCAAACAATCCTGATTTTTTTAAGCGCTTTCGCTGTTTGCTAAAGGCGACGGCAACGCAAAGTCCATCCAAATCCCTCTATCGTCTACATTTTTGTCATGATCTTAACAATCATGGCGAATCTGCCTAAAATCAGAGAGACAGTTGTATAATTGTCTGTGCTTATGTTTTCGACATTTTGGACAATGAAGATTTCATGCTTTCATATGATCTGAGTGCTTCGAGCATTCCTGATTTCCAGTTCTCGAAGGCGCATATCGGTTCGATTTGGACAACTTCAACGATGACGAATGCAACATCTATTAGGAATAGAACAACAGATTTCCTAACTCCAAGCATGCCAGTGAGCTCCCTGGACTGCTAAAGTGACATATTTCCATGTGTGATTTTAGGTCTATAATCAATTTTTTGACAGGTTTCGATCTAACACTAATAATTTCAAGTTAGTCTAGATCTATTTAAAATTGAATTAGTCGTTAAGTTACTCGCCGAAGAGGAATTTGTAGAGTCTAACTTTGTTCACGTTAGAATCCATTTTGACAGTTATAATATTATAATTATAACCAGACACTCACACACATCCAGATACTAATAATTTTCAAGGGACCTTGAAAATTATGCACGCGATATGATAGATTCGATCAGTTTGTAGTAGGTCAATGGTTTTTATTTAGAATTTCTTGTGATAAACGTGAACAAAAAATGCTGGTATATGAGCACCGGATGTGAGTAGTATATCCACAAATCAATGTAGAGAATCAATACTGTTTTATGAGTCAAAAACATGCATGCAAGAGGAAAAATTAAAGTCCATAATTATTTTATCAAAATTGAAATGAAATATTTGAATGGTCAGACATGCAGCGAGCACGTTTACAACAAATTTTAAATTTAAGAATATTGCATGGGAATTAGACCTTAAACGGCAATAGAATTAGAATGGGCCTACACTTACTGAGTTTTTCACTTCCAAGTTAAATTCCTCTGCATTCTCGGAGCTCGTTCCCAAGTCAGCTTTTGGGCAGGGTAGACTTTCTTCTCTATCCATACATGCAACATTCATTATTCCACAACGCAACGATGTTAAGAAAATTATTAGGATATCAACAAAACACTAACAAATCAACATTCCTCCTAAAGTCAGTGATTCACATTTCCAAGTTTTTAAAAAGAATACACAATGTGATAATTTCTAGAACAAAATACTTCACTCTTGCTACGTTAAGATTTAGCAGTTCGGGTACACATATTTTGCTTTTTAGTCTCACTATATACCTCTGGATTAGGTGATACGAATCTTGGCGATACTGAAAAGGGACATTAATTGAGAAGAAACGGTTGTAAAAATATGGGCCGGTGATTTGTACAAGTGCAATTCGAACACAATTAATAGGGTTTTGTGGCTTTTGTGTTTGGGATTACGTCCCTCTTGTAGACTTGTTTGATATCTTTGAACTCACTCCTGACTGGCCCGAGGCCTTGAGGTGACGGATGCTTTCAATCAGATTAAAGATCTAGTTGATATCACCTCAGTGCAATTATGATTATTATTAAGGGCACCATGAATAATAGTCTACATTTGACTTTCAGTTTAAAACGATGCCCTTGCCAAAGCCTGTATTCACTGGCGTACTCATGATCGGGGGGAGGGGGGGGGGGGGGACAGTTGCCCCCGAAATAAAATTCAAAACGTGGTTTATTTCTAAATCAATACCGGTGATTTACAAATTAATGTTGGTGAAATGACATAATTTTCCGGGATTTTTCGTCACCTTCTAGTAAATTATACTTTTGTATGCGTTTGCTGGAAAATGACAAAACCCAAAATTTACAGTCAGGCAACAAAACGCCTATACACGTTAGGGCCTGCGGGCCGGCGGGGCTCGGTGGGCTCGGACCCCCCCCCCCTCCAATTGTTTTGAAAAAGTATATTAAAGAGAAATAGGACGAAAGAGAGAAAGAAAGAAAAAAATAGTGACCTACCAATGTCACATGATAATGAGGTTTCAGAATATGCTCATCTGACCGTGATTAAATGGCTACAAACCCCTGAACTTCTGTGAGCTCTTCCCCGTGGATGCTCATCTGACGGTTATTTAATGCCTAAACCCTCTGAGCTTCGGGGAGCTCCACCCCTGGACCCGACGCCAATTAGTGCCTGCCATTGTGCCAGTGTCACAAAATAATGTATCAAAATATGGTATATTGTGACCGTAATAAGCGCCTAAAACCCCTGAGCTTCCGGGAGCTCTGCCCCCTGGACTCGACCAAGGGCCCTAAGGCGGGCCATAATTATATGCTCATCTTACTGTAATTAAATTCCCTAAAATCCCCTGAGCTTTCGGGCCTCCGCACCCTTGACCCCATGCCCAATAGTGACCTGCCAGTGTCACAAATAAGTTATCAAAATAATTATGCTCATCTGACCGTAATCAAATGCCTAAACTGGCGCTGATAGACGGTTGGCCCGACGGGCCCGCCCCCTTTAAAAAAAGGGCGAAATGGAAAGGAAAGGAAAGATATGAAGAAAAGGAAAGGAAGAAGTGCTAAAATACGAGTTAGAAGTGGACCCAGGGCACTCACTTATCCGTATAAAATGTCAAGGCCCCGGTCCAGGCCATGCTCCGAGATTTGGGTAATTTTCAGGTCTGAACTAGCCCTAACTCGTGTTTTTAGGATTTAACAGCAAT